CATCGGTGTAAAACGTACCAAAAACAAAATCTCCAGGTGAGACGAGGCGTATCGGTAATGAGTCCTCCGAGAGTCGGTCCCAGAACTCCTGCGACGCCGTACATACTCGTGACCAGGGCCATTCCGAACGGTCTAGCTCGCAGAGGAACTGACCTTCCATAGACTGACAGACTGCCGCAGAGCAGACCAGCGGCTCCGATACCAGATATTACTCTCCCTGTGATCAATGCTGCAGAATTTGGCGAGGCAGCGCAGAGAATCGAGCCTGCCTCGACTTGAGAAAACCACAGATGGCTTCAGTAAGTTGATCAGAGGTATATTGTGCAGCTACGGATTTGACTCACAAATGATGACGGAGGTCAGATAAAGAACTCTGGCGTTGAATAAAGTGTACAAGCGACCAAAGGTAGGCTGGAATGCCATTTCTGTGAAGAGGTACGCACTTCCGTACCACGGCACATCGTTGAGTCGATGGAAATCGCTGGTTATCTTGGGGATTGCCGTTGCTGGCCAGGACATCGTAAGTCTAAAGATCTCAAGAATCCAAGGAGTTGCAAGAACTTACCAAGTATACTGCCATCTATGGCTATCATGAAGGTTGCAATGGTGAATACTGTTGATAGAAGAGCCAGCTCTCGCGGTGTCGCATATTGATGAGTCTGCGACTCGTCAGAATCCTCACCAGTCGTTGTCTCATTTGCATCATTTTCTTGACTTCCTGGTCCCTTCTGAGAATTTTCCATCTTATCTTTGAAATCATTGTTGACAACAGCTTCATGGGTATTGCTCTTTTTTCCGTCGCTATCCAATCGAGACGGCATGGAAATCTCCATGGTATGTTTTGTATCAGCCTCCATACTCCTAGAACTCACTCAGCAGCGGCTCAAGTGTTACGAGACTTGGGAAATTTCACTTATTCCGAAGACAGAGGGAAATAAGCAATCCCATAGCAAGATTATCCGGGGCCCATCTGGTTGTCAGTCATAACGCGAAGTTCCCATGAACATAATTGATGTCCAATTTGGGACATTGATGAGCCTCGTCTTGCCGAAAGGGTCTTTGGTTCCTACAGCTCTTCCGCGGATAACTGCATTCAGTAATAAGATACACACCTGAACTAGCGCGTGAAATCCTGCGGCACCTCGCGTAAGGCTACTTTGAGAATCCTTCAGGAGTAATCCTGCGGAAACAACGGGAACGGTACCGTCGGTCCAGAAGGGCACGCTGACTGCCTAACAGCGTATAGCCTGAAATCAGCCCGTCGGTTCGATGTTCCGTGCCATGCACAACACTCGTGCTGAACAATAACTGTTGCTTACTAGTTGATTTGACAAGAATAATACGGGATACGGTGATTTGCTGGCCAGCCAGAAAGCCATTTGGTGCTGTGCAGTTTGCCGCCTTGCTGCGCCCCTGCACACCGAAGGATCGGGCACGAATATACAATGACCCTGCCTTGGCGTTTTTGTCATTATTGACATCAGACCAGTTCCCATAGCCGCGTCAGAGATAGATAAAGTATGTATAGAGAGTTTTTCGAATTTGATTACCTATGCCTCCAAAGACCGGTGGTTGGCGGGCTCTTCAACACGCAGCATGATTTTCTCAAAGTTCTTCCTCGCGCTTTGCGCGATTACATTGACGCAGGCAACTCCTGCATCGTCTGAGTGCAAGGCCTTTCCAGGCACCACATCATGGCCCTCGAGCAACGATTGGTATCGCCTGAACAAGGCAGTCGATGGGCGGCTCTTCAGACCCCTTCTTCCAGGCGGCATTTGTCACCCGGAGCAGCCGAACTACAGTGCAGAACGGTGCTCCAACCTCTTCACGGCTTGGAGAACCTTTGAGTTCCATGCTGAGGACCCTGTCTCGGTGATGTGGGACAATTGGACCAACTACACCTGTATCCCTCTAGATGGCTTCCCTTGCAGCGGAGCAGGCTATCCGTCATATGTGGTCAACGCAACCACAGCGAAGCATGTCAAGGCCGCCGTCAACTTTGGTGAGTACATATGTTTTCCAAGCCCAAAGGAAAGGAAAAAATAAAAAGAAAATCCCCCAAGTTCAGCTGACAAAATTCTATCCACAGCGCGAAAGAATCAAGTCCGTCTTGTTGTCAAGAGCAGTGGGCATGACTACCTTGGGCGCTCCATCGCGCCAGGCTCCCTTTCCATCTGGACGCACCATCTCAATGAGATCCAGTATCACGAGGGGCAATTCGAACTCGCTGGGTCGGGGAAGGTTATACCCGGCGATGCCATCACCGCCGCATCCGGAGCGAAGATGGTTGATGTGTACGCTGTAGCAAGCCAGCACAACCGCGCTGTCGTAGGCGGTGGAGGTAAGACCGTTTCGCAGGGTGGCTTTGTAACGGGCGGTGGTCATTCCATCTTAGCACCCCATTACGGTCTTGCGGCAGATAATGTGCTGCAGATGGAGGTCGTTACCCCTGGTGGCGATCTTATCACGGTCAACGAAGATCAAAACGCCGACTTGTTCTGGGCCATGCGAGGTGTAAGTCTTGGATTGCGGGAGCTTTTGCTGTTCATCTACTAACTTGGTAATGCTAGGGAGGAGGTTCGACATTTGGGGTTCTCACCTCTGTCACAGTCAAGACGCATCCTGAAAAGAAGCTCACTATGGTTTTATTTATGGCCTTTACTGTTCCTGAGGCTCCCTTCACTCTAGACCTCGCTACTTGGGCCGCTTCTCAGCTTCCTTACCTCTCAGACTCTGGATTGTCAGGTTATCTCATGGCTACCGTGAACTCGACGCCGCCGATTCCACTGCCGGGTCTCCCAGAGCGAGTTGCCGGTCTGATGGGCAAGACAATCATTCTGGATACCCAAGATACGACCAGGATTAACGAGATCTTTAAACCACTCAACAAAACCATCCAGGAACGATGGCCTGGACAGGTCAACTTGCTGACCATTACTCAACCGTACGACTCATTCGCGGCCTGGTATGCCGAGAACTTTGACGACGGTCAAGCTGGGGGCTCTGTCTATCTCATCTCACGATTCCTAGACAAGAAGACCCTGACCACTGACCTGGACGCACTGAAGAGTGCACTGGAGCCTATTCTTCTCAACGATGGTTGGCTGGGAACATATCTGGTTGCTGGAAAGGGTGTGAATGAAGCGAAGCCCCGCGGCGGCGAAAATTCCGTCCATCCGGCCTGGCGGAAGGCATATGTTCATGCACGTGAGTAGCCATCTAGAACAGTCTCAAGGCCAGGTGAAGGCCATATATTCATGTAGGAGAAGTCTCTGACTATTCGCAGTCACCTGGCAGGGCTGGGGATACGAACCATGGGATCCAGCAGCAGGAGAGAAAGCCAGGGAGATTCTGGACGCTAGGTTCGAGCCTCTTCGCCAACTGACGCCCGATGGAGGATCATACATGAATGAAGTAAGTTTCCCAAAACTGACGAGGAGAGAAACCAGCTAGATTAGGGGTTTTGCTAACGATTTGATCAGGGATTCCCATTCGAGAAGAACTGGCAGCAGGCATTTTGGGGCTCGAACTACCCGAGATTGTCCGAGATCAAGCGCAGTATTGATCCGAAGGACGTATTGTGGTGCAAAACTTGTGTGGGAAATGAAGGCTGGTCGGAAAAAAGCGACGGCCGCCTCTGCAGGGTTCAGTAAATCAACAATATTGTACACCGTTGTGGACTGTTTAAATGTTACTATAAACTTGGACGCTCTATGATTCCATGCATGTGTGCCCTAGAGAAAAAGAACAATTGTTCAATCTCAAGGTCGCTTGACGCGCTTTGAATCGCAGTACTTTAAGTCTTGTGAAATTTGAGAGCCTTTATGTATAGTCCTGCGTGAACGCGAACTCCTTTGGTAACCATCAGGAACCCATTGGTGTTGGACCACTTTTATCCAGTACTCTTCGGGATCAATTTGTTCTACGTTCATAACGTGTGAGGATGTCGAAAGCAGAGTTCACCACTGATGTAGCTACATCTCTTGGTCGACCAAAGGCCAAGATCTTGTGTTGAGGGACCGGTCATAGACCCACTGTTTCCCCCGGATACCGGAGGCCCACTAGGCCGGCCAGCCGGTGAGACTGTTACTAAGCCAGCAAAGTCGCGACGTTGCGTTAAGCTCCGTCATATTTGCCAAAGACTTAGTGAAAAGGGGTCAAAGGGGACATTGATGCATGAAACCACAAAAACAAGGCTGAAAATGGCTTGTGGCGCCAGCTCAGTGGTAAACATCCTTCCTTTTGACACAAATTGGTGGCTTCGAGGTGGTCTCGGATGGCCCTGGTCTGCAGTCCCCCACTTCTCGGAGCGGTCAGCCCGGAAACACACTTGTCTGGAGGCTGGCCGTCTGAACCGTTGCAACCAAATCTGCTGTATGTCTCAGCCACCAAGTCTCAGAGAAAGTTCTAGACTTTTGGAAAAGTCGGTAATGCCCGCCTAGAGTAGGCTGTTGATTTCACCAGATTAACGAGCCGCTTGTTGGGGTTCACATAATTGATGGGATCGCACATATTACCGACTCGTCACATGCAGCGTCAATTTGCTGAGAGAATAGTATTCAGCGATAATTCAAACGGCCGAGACCTCGACCTGTAGCAGTCGGGCCTACCGAGATAGATGCATTATTCACGTATTCGAACTCCTAGACATCTCAAATTAGAAGAATGAGCAACATACGCGTATTGAGAAACATCAAGTGACTTAAAACAAGCTCCCCGGGACTGCTGGTAGCAAAAGACGACCTACCGGAAATGTGGGACCTTGAGTAACGGAGCGAGCCGGCCTGTGGCCGGACCACGCGGGCCCGTGAATGCTGACGTAAAGTGGCAGACGTCACAATGGGGAGAAGCGCGGGGTTGATGTACACTAAAGAAGACGAGATGGCATTCTCATATCTAGTTTGTTCTTTCAAAAGCAAACATTCATGTGCAGTTGCTTTTTCGTAGCTCAGCTCAATTCAACTAGTGTGCCGGAAGAGCGAACCGATAAGTGGGCAAAAATGTCTAAACCTGGACAGTTCCGAGCCGAGTAAGTCACTCTTCATGTCGGCGGTGATGCATCTCATTCCATCGCGTTGTTTTCCCGTCAAACACCATACCAAGGGCTTGAAACCATAGGTCAAGTGCAGACGAATCATATGTATAATTCTTGCAAGCTAAAATAACGCCAAACCGCCTTAGTCTCCCTGAGCTCGCGAGACATCTTCTCACGAATGGCCCTCACAAAACTCAACCTACCGCCCGCAGAGTCCGAGTCATCTTAAACAATACATGCGTCGTCGATACCACCAAAGCAGTCCATGTTTGGGAACACGTTGCATATCCGCAGTACTATGTACCCGTAGCAGAACTACGGAACTGCCGTTGGAAAGACAAGCAAGACATCCAGTCCACGGCCGATGCATCCCAAGCCGCGGCGGCAGTCGTTGAAGTGACCGTTCCTGGGCGGGACGGTGAAAACGACTTTACCACCGACCGGGCGTTGAGATTTTCCGACAATGGAGAGATCAGCGGTGCCCTAAAGGGTCTGATAAGGCTCGAGTTCGGCAGTATGGGTATGTTGTCTCAGCCACCATCGGAAGTTCCGTAATTTCCGTCATGTACCTTCGGAACTGACAAAAAACCACCTTTCAACACATACAGACCAGTGGCTCGAGGAGGAAACGCCCATCTACGTCCATCCCAAAGATCCTTACAAGCGCATCGATATTCTCCCTTCGTCGCGGCCTGTAGAGGTCAAGGTCGCCGGAAAGACCGTCGCCAAGACCAGCTTTGCCGTTCATTTGTTGGAAACTGGGCTGCCTACGCGATACTACCTGCCCTTAGCGTCAGTTGATCAGTCAGCTTTGCGAAAAAGCAAGCTCATCACCAAGTGCCCATACAAGGGCGATGCTGAGTACTACAGTATTGTGGTGGATGGCAAAGAGTATAGCGACTTGATCTGGTATTACAGGCTTCCCACGCAGGAAAGCGCGGGGATCGCTGGTCTACTGTGCTTTTACAATGAGAAAGTCGACATTATTCTGGATGGTGAACTTCTAGAGCGGCCAAAGACATTCTTTTCCTAAGTCAGGTAGTTTTAGCTATATACGAGTAAATTGTATTGCATTGCAAGTAGTCACGGCATGTGAACTAATGAAGATATTGAATACGCTTCAAATTTTGATATGGTACATCTTGATACACGCGGCATGTTGCCCTGACGAACGTATTGTAAACGTCAAAATGGCTGCCAGTCTGTTCCCAATGGGTGCTTACCAGCACCCAATCCTTCAGTCATAAATCATAAATTTTGCTTTAACAGTGGTACGCAGACGTAGCCTTAGCAGCCACAGTCCTAGAAGCGCACGCAATCTGTGATCCGAGCTGAGCGTGATATACATCGATCAATTCATCGATAGGCTGCGTCGCACAGTACCCGCATTCTCGTCCCTCGCGTCTAATTGCCGCTTTTTCAAGCCATTCCCTGCGAACAGCCGGCTCGGCGCGTCTCTTGGAGGTCGTGGCGCAGGGCATCGGTCTCGGATCGATCTTAGGCGCGGATTAGTCGTGGTCTTGGACCCTGACTGCAGCCAGAAACTCTGCTTGCCGACAGGTCAGGATCGCCGCCGACATCGTGGGTGACAAGTCGGCGAGTCGCGTTCCTGAAACGCCTGTCATGGCACATTGACAGCTACGCAGCGCGACCATGACGTGCAGCTAGCGCACTCGATGCTGTGCATCCTTCAACCGCATGCCTTTCCGCATTGGGTAAACGCTTCATCGTCGCCCCAGACCGTTAACGCGTGAAGTTGTGAACAGTTTGTCGACGGATGAGATCGTTTGGTAATCCTTCTGCTGCTCATCACCAATTCAAAAGTACCCAGGCATCGAGCCATACGTCCCAGCCGGACCGTGCGCATCATAGCCCTGCGGGATGAATTCGTCCATGAAGCCGGGAGGTGCCATGCTGTAAAGGCTCCCCGGGTACACCTGCATGGTCTGAGAGCAGTCCATGGCGTCCTGGTTGGCCTGCTGTTGCTGCTGCTGCTGCTGGTGTTGCTGGTGTTGCTGCTCCTCTGCCGCGGCTGAGGCCTGCTGCTCGAGAAGAAGACGTTCGTCACGCTCCTTTAGCTGCGAAAGAGATGCCTGTTGAGGCAGGGCTTGGTGGTGAAGCGGGGGCGGTGACGTGACGGCGGGCGTCAGGGCCTGGGCGACGGAGTGGAATGCCGGAATATCGGCAATGAGCTCGGGGAAGCGGGTGAAGAAGTCCATACCCATTGTCCAGGCGTTGATGTCCGATATTCTCTGCTCGAACATGGGCGAAATTTGGTACTGGCCTGTGACGACGCTCCTTTTGTACGCGTCGCGGAACTCATAGGGCCAGAGGAGGTGGAAGTTGGGGCCGAAGAGCTCCCAGAACTGGTTGTTGCAGTAGTGGTGTTGTCCGAAAACGAACCGTTCCCGAACACCTGGCCTAAGAGGTTATTAGAGACTGCACTCGAGCATGAATGGTGATAACCAGAGGGGTGTATTGACGTACCAGACAAAGAAGTCGATGGCATAAGAATGTGGCATCGCCTGTGATGGTCTGCAATAGATCAGCATACGTCTAAGGATTAGCACAATCAGACCGTTGTTTGACAAACCTCTTCAGGTACCAGGTGGGCAGCTTGGCATAGCGTTCCGGGGTGGGATCGGAGTGATACTGCAGCAGCAAGTGCATGGTTCGAAGGATCGCCAGCCGTTCTGTCGGTGGGCAAGTCATGAAGCACAACTCGTCGACCCTGCGGAGCTTTCTCCACAACTTAGACAATGGCCGGGTCTTCGCGACGGCATCCCAGCCTTCGAGTAGTACCCGCACGGGAATGTCCTCGTCGTTGGAGTCCTCGATCGCGTGAGCTTCCTTCGATATGCGACACCGCTTCGCCAAGACCTGGTTAACAGCCCGCCACACATTCACTTTCGGGGACGCTGGGCCTGCTGGGGTACGGACAGTGACGCAGTCGCAGTGCGCCTCGGGTGGTGGCACTATGAGATTGGGATCGTCTGGGGCATCGTCCCCGTTGTCGTCCTCGTCGTCGACAAAGTCCTGGCTGTCCGACGTGGAGCTAGGTGCGTGGACGCTGGGCGCGTGTACGCTGGATGCCGGGAACCCGTTCGGCACCCTGCCGACGACGGCGCCATTGACACTACCGTGGAAACCGTGGACGTCGAGGGCGGCGGGGGTTTCGGGCAGTAGGCCCATGGGTGCGGTGTAGGTTGGCGCCGAGAGCTCCGTAAGCATAGTCGCATCCCGAGAGGCTGCTGAGCCTGCTCGCGGCAGGGATGTTGACGCTGTCACGGTGGGAGGCGGCGAGCGTTGCTGTGTCGCTGGGGTTGGGCGGCTCGGCAGCACATGGTCGCGGATCGTCTGCTCGATGGACTTGAAGGTGTCGAACAGGCCGTCCCGCTCGCGCGTGACGGCGGCCAGCTGCTCCATGGCGGCCGACAGCCTCGTCGAGTCATCCTTTCGGAGCTCCTTGACCTGGGCCTCGAGCTCGGCGATGCGGTTACGGGTGCGCTCGCGAGCCTGCCTCTGGGCCCGGCGGTCGAGCTCGCGCTTCCGGATTTTGCGGGCGAGCTCCTTTTCGGAGGGGACCTTGGCTGGCGGAGCTGATCCTCCTGTTGCTGCTGACGGTGTGGGGGCATCATCGTCTGGTCCATTGGACGCCATAGCTCTTTTCCCTTCTTCCTTTATGAAAGAAGATTGTGGGCAGAAAAGAGAGAAAAGAGTCAACGAGAATAAAAGCGCGTCCGCGCTTGAGGGTCCAAGTGTTTGTGCTTTCTCCTCGCGTGGTCCGCTGGTTTGGGCCCTATCTTTCCCAAGCGGATGATGGGAAAGCTTGGTTTTGTCAGCGGGAAGATGAAATATCGATTATTAGCCCGGGCACGGGTCCGGATAGTGTCGAAGAAAGTTGACGGTAGATGTGCAGAAGTGGATCGGGCGGGCATCAATACTAATGGGGAGAAAAGGGGACCGAAAGACAAAAGGAAGCCTACTCCTTGAGGTTTAATTAACCAATCGTGTATCGAGACAGACAGATAGTCAGAGGCAGCAGAGACAGGGCTTGGACGGGCATCCCGGCCACACCTCTAGACAGGCATTCGAATACAGATACAACAGTCTGAGAATATGGTAGTGTAGCAAGGAGGGAAGAGGGGTGGACGAGAAGTTGAGAAGAAAGACCAAAGAATGTGGGGTAAAATGCGACCACCCTTGCTGTGCTGTACAGTGACACTTGCTTGTCCTGCAGCTCTCTCTCGCGCTCTCTCTCTCTCTCTCTCCTTGCCTTGTCTCGCCTGCCCTGGTCTAGCTGAGCTGGGAATCCTATGTGACATTGGGCTTAAACTCTGCCATCGGTGGCTTTGCGTGGCTCTGATAGAGTTCGGACGCCATAGCTCCGCACGCAATTTAGCCCAGCAGAGCGACAAATCAGCAGTTGGGAAATGGTGGGAAATGCTAGCCCGCACCCTCCACTTCATCGCATTGGTCTTAGAGTGTCTCAGTCGCAAGAGTCGACAACTGTGCTAGCACTCAGAGATGGATTTCCTAAGCAATCCAAGCTCCAACGGGGGCTAATTAGCACTACTTCGACATTCCGCGGATGCCGTGTCCGGACGGAACTTCTAGTCTACTTTTCTCTAAGAAACCTACTAAAGCCTTACCATCCCCTGCAGACCCTTCAGCTCGTTTAGCCACACCACGCCTTGCGCCCTATCGAAACTCGATTTCGAGCTGCCAGATTTATCAATGCGTAAAGTGGGTTTTTGTTGGCTTTGCAACGTCGATTATCAAATTGCGATATGTCACTGGATACCTCGGATACCTCGCCCACATATTAAACATGGCTTATAAGACATTCCAGCCTTAGCAGTCTTGTGTTACCTCCAATCGTCACATCTCTCTCACTCATTTGCTAAGCTGTCACTTTTCCCGCCTCCCTCACTTTGAAAATCACTTCCAACTGCGGCAGCGACAATGTAAAACCATCCTTTTTGCCATCAATAAACGCTTCCGCCTTCTGCCCCGGGGCGAATGCAACATCATATCGGTTAATGATTTGGCTGGCGCAGTAACGGATTTCCATCAAGCCCAGCTGCTTTCCGACGCAAGAGTACTTGCCTGCCAAGATTCATCCTTGTCGTCAGCTCTCACGTCGCACCGATCGGCCCAAAAAGGTGGAGGTAATGATTTTAAGTGCTTACCGGTACCAAAGGGAACAAATGCGGCAGGGTCTTTGGCCAGATCGGGCCGGGAGGTCCACCGCTCGGGAATGAAGTCGTTTGCCTGCGGGAACAGGCGCTCGTCTATTTGTTTTTCGCCACAGTCAGCAAGCAAAGTCTTGTATGACAGACGCAGTTCATCAGCCGAGACAACGGTGGAGGATGAAACAGTTTCTTTTTGAGACTTGCCTCTGAACATGGTGTGCGTAGGCACCTGGATGATTGTATCACCCGGAATAAACGTCCCGTCAATATCTATGCCCTCGGGCGGGGTCATGCGCTGCACACCCGACGGGACAGGAGGATGAAGCCTCAACGTCTCGTCGATGCAAGCCTGCAGATACGGGAGCTTTGACAGTGCGGAGTGTTCAGGCTCCGCATTCTGCGCAAAGTAGTCGTCGATCTCCTCCCTTAAGCGTTGGTAGACATCTGGCTTTTGGGCTAGCTCGAAGAAGAGACAAGTAAGGGATGCAGCTGTCGTATCACTTTACGAATTCATTAATACAACGTCAGCTGAATAAACCCAGCACCATGGATATCAAGGTGGGATGCGAGACATTACTTACCTCCCTGCAACGATGATAAGATACGCGTCGCCATATAGGTTGAGGGTGTCCTGCCAAGTCGGGTTCTTGAGGGATTGATATTCCTCCAAGATCCATGAGAAGACATCTGGGCGGTCAGGGGGGTTCTTGAAATTGATGACAATTAGCATGCAGATCCCTCGACCCGGGTCATCGGCAGATCATACCGCGATTCTCTCGTCCACCTGAGATGTGACAAATTTCCAGAATCGCTTGTTATTTTCATTCAAGATTGGCGTATTCTTGAAGATGGGGAATAGCCATAACATGTGGCTGAACATGCCAATAGCCTGCATATCTTGATGTAAGGAAGTCATAAAGTAGTGCTTAATGCCTTCCTTGAGCATGCCAAAGGACTTGCCGAAAGCCAAGTCACCCATGACATCGAAGCTGTAAAAGTTGAACCAATCTGAGATATTGAATGGCTTTCCCTTGTTCTTGTCAATACTTGCAAGAAGCTGATTGGTGTAGTCGGCAACCCGGAACTCATAGTCTCTAAGCGCTAGACCTCTTGTTAGTTGTGAAGCCCCAAAACGTCTCTGGGCGAAATCTTGTATTACCTTTTGAGCTGAACCCTCGATCCCAACTCTTGCGCCTTTGTGCATGCTCTTGCTTGTCTCGGACGAGCTGCAATGAGTACATGGGATGCAAGACTCCATACCATGGGCCTTTGGTGCACGGTGAGCGATTCGAGTGGATTGGAAGAACGGCCTTTGGGTTGTTGATAGACAACTCGGTCGGGCCTTAAGGCATTGAGATCAGCATTCTTCATCGGTATAGTAAAATTGGTAAGAGTTCCTTACCAATTCTCACAATGTCGCCATACTGTTCATGGAGTTGTTGAACCTCGGTGTACATGTGCAATTCCTTGACTGCTCGTGAGGTGATCCACAGATTCGAGAGCCTCGCTAGGAACGGTCCTTTGAAGCCGTTGAGCCGGTGGAATGCCGCACGGTACACGAGTAAACTTGTGTAGATTCCAGCAATGAGCGCGGCCGTGAGAGAACCAGCTGTCTTGAGCGCAGCCGCATTTGTCCGGAAGGTCTCAGGAGCTCCCCGGGAAAGGGCCGCCGTCAGCAACCCAATACCCAGTGTGAAGTTCCTGAAGAGTCTGGTAGTAGCTGTATCCCATTCCCCTTTGCGGAAAACGAAGACGTGGAGCTGAGTGCCTAAAATGAAAAACAGGCCATGGGCCTGAAGGATCTGGAGGTTGGTAATTGCCATTTTTCTGTATCTGTCATGCCAATTTCTGGCTCCGCTTCTGTGTTGTTCACCACACAAGAAATGAAGGAGAGGAGGAGAGTTTCTGTTTTGAGAAAGCGGATAAGGATGAGGCCGCTCTCAAAGGCTTGGTAAATACTATCTGGACGGATTCAAATGCAGCTCTTCGACAAATCGAGCGAGGCGCACGAGGAAATCACTGCGTCAGAACGTAACAGCAGCTATCTAACAAGGCATCCCGACTTGGCGTCAGGAAGCAAACAAGACGTGTCAGAAAAGACCAATCACCAACAACCCAATTAGGAACCCAATAGCTCAACGAAACTTCGAGTCAGAAAAACTGCCACCCCATTTCGGGATGGTCGCTGCAGGATCACGATCAGCACTTGACCATTCACATGTGCCTGATAACTCATCTGGCCTGATTACCCCTAACCCACGCCTCAGAACCCGAAGCACCATGAAGAGGCTTGGGGGACTGGAACAAGGACCCTTTGTGGTCTCAGTGGCCCGTTGCAGAATGGGCCTATCCGCCAGCCATCATGCGAGAAGTCGACTCAGCATCTTCAACGGTTTCTGACTCGACAAGTCCGGGGTAGAATCTTGTGCCATGGGGTTCTGATCTTCCCCAGCGCGGGGCCGCGTCCGCGTGTCGGTGGAGTCTGGGGAAGAGCTGTCAGAAAAAGAAGTCTCCCCGTTTCCCCGCGACACCATCATGGATCTCGGGCGTCTGAGGCTGGAAGTCTGGGGAAAGATCTCGATGGGCCTCTTGTTTCCCCCCGCTGTTTCCCCGCAATGGGGTTAATTAGCCCGACGGGACCAAAACGGGGTGGCGCGAAAGATGGTCCGGGGCCGCATGACCCTCGACGCGGGTTGCCGACGCCATGAGCCGAGCTTGCCAGCACAGCCCAACAGCTTAATTGAACTCTATAGTCTAGCTCGTCTAAGCTGTCCCGCAATCTCGGCATATACTGTGGTTAACAGGAGTTTACCCCGGTTGTTCGCGAGCCGAGTCGGCACTTGTAGCACTCTCCCTCGTGGCTCTCTCGTGGCACTTATCGGGCTCGTCTTGAGTGGTTTGTTAGTCTTTGGCAGCCTGTCGCTATTGACCACATCCCTAGCGCTTGGGTGGGACTTTTCGAGCTTCCCAATATTTGGTACTAATTTGCAAGACTATGCGGATCGATCTTGGCATTAATGTCTCATGGTCATCATAAATTGAGAGTATGTACAGGAATCATGATAATGTGTATGCGTCTACTTCAAGTCAATCACGACACGTCCCTGAATACCCCCAGATTCCATCTCATTGAAAATCTGTGAATTGCTGTGTCAGTATGGACATCATCAACTGAGAAGTGTAGAAAGAGATTAAGTTACCTTCGTCAAGCTTCTCATTCGTCGCAGTTGGAAGTGAGTTTTGATGTTGCCTTGTGCTGCGATCTCCAGACATTCCTTGGCTTCGAGTCTGTTACCAGTCTTGACACCTGCGGAGCATCCAAGTAAGCATTCGTGTCCACAATACACGAATCACATGTTGAAAGGACGTCATGACGAAGTCAAACATACCAAAAATAGTCAACTCGTCCACAAGCATGGGTTCGACGTCCGCGATCGCCGGGCTGCTGTTCTCGGGAACACCCAAGCACACAAGCTTGCCCCTGAACCCGAGCCACTTTGGAGACTGCACGTAGGCCTTTTTGTTAGACGAGCACATGAGCACGATTCTCGCCCCTCCGCCCGTAATTTTCTTAATCGCTGCCGTGAGGTCCTCGTCGCTGGGGTAGGCCGTGAAGTCAACGAATTCCGTCGCCCCAAGGTCGCGGCAGAATTTCTCCTTGCTGCCGATATCCATGGCCAAGACGCGGCACCCAATCACGCGGGCGTACTGGATAGCGAGATGACCGAGGCCCCCGCCGGCTCCCACGATGACAACCCAGTCACCATGACGGGCGTCTGCGCGCTTGAGGGCTGTGTAGACGCTGATGCCGCCGCACATGAGAGGGGCGGCCTCTGCTGAGTCGAGGCCTGCGGGGATGGGAGTGACGTATCGTGCCGTCGATATGCAGTACTGTTGAAATGTGCCGGGGGTGAAGTAGCCAGAGAGTTTAACCTGTGCGCATGATGATTCGCCGCCTTGAAGACATCGATCTAAGATGCCGTGTTAGTGGAGGTAGGTTGTGTTAGATGATCGTGACCATACCGCAGTTGAGACATGCATCTGCCGCGTATTTGATTCCCACCCTGTCACCGATTGCAGGTGATGTGACGCCTGTGCCTACGGCGACAACCTCGCCGACTCCTGGGAGAACATTAGTGACAATTGAACTCATTCAGGGGCGTGATGGAAGACTCGAAAGTCGACGTGGAGTTTTGACGTACCCTCATGGCCACCAACTTGACCTATGATACTTCATGATTAGATCCTTGCTTAATGAGTCGACAAGGCGAATCAGATGAGACGTACCTTTTGGTGTAGGAAATGGGACCGATGAGAATGCATTCATGCAAAAGCCGTAATCGGTATGACAGACACCAGAGTATTGTCTGCAGTAGTAAATAGCGTGATCAGTAATTGAACTTTGTGATATTGAATAAAGGCGTCAACTCACAGCCGAACCAAAACCTCCCCGGGGCCAGGCTCCGGGATCGGTAGTTCTACGACCTCCGTTTGGGTGGTGCCGGGCTCCGTGTATACAACCGCGCGGTTGTGGTTGCTTTCGCCGCCCATGATAGTCGCCATAAAATTGCTCTACAATCTCAATGTGCCTTTGGACTCTTTAAAATTCAGATGGGATTTGCGAGGGAATGCATGTCGTTATATTCTTCAAGGAGGCCGGGCGGGCGCGCGCACGCGGCCTCCCGGCGACCAGAAACGAACCCGAGCCTTCTGGGTCAATTGGACCGAACCATTCCCCCCTCCCTCCCTTACACACTTTGTACACTAGAACGCTGGCCGGCCGGCTTGCCTTAGCTTCGTAAAAGCGAGCCAGACCATCGGGAACAAGCTCTGTTTGCTCTTTTTTCGCCTGCTACAGCCTGCAACAATTGCCGAAGCCGTGGCACGAGGTAACAGAGTCTGGCGGAAATACCCCCACATGCATCTCATGCCGGCGCCGAGCCGGCGGGTCAATGTATCGAGTGTGAGGGAAGACCCAAGACCTGGGGGGAGCATTTCCAGCCAACCATTAGCTGTGGGAAGCTTGACTCGACCTTGAGTCTGTCTGCATGACCAACCTTGCAGGAGGGAGGGCGAATCCTCAAACGCAGCGCGAGGCGAGCTAAGGTGGACAAACGGCGGAAGCACGGCGCAGACAGTGGTCGAGTCAGACCCTCTTTCTCCAAATGCACCCGGCTAAGCAACACGATCGGTTCAAGCACAGGTCAAACTTCTGCCTACCTACGGGGAAATAGGTGCGGTTCGGGATCCAGGTGCCAAACGCAAAAGGAGGGGTTGAAAGCGGCACGTTGCCGACCAAAGTCGTCTGTTGTCTTGCGTCTCCAACTTTCTTCCCCCCTTTCGTCACTTTAGAGAGACTACTGCGGGCAACCCGCAGCACGAGAAGCAAGAGAGTCTGTGTCAGCATTGACAGCTACGGTAAACATACTGCGGAAGACGGCAATGCGTCAACACTACGCATACCTTAATGCTCTTCATATGTACACTAAAATGGCTTACATAACGCTACATAACGGTACGTACCAGTGCCCATTAAGCCGATCAACTCATCCGCGTTTCAACACTTGCCCCGTCGCGGCTTGGCTTGGCTGAGTTGTCGATTGTAATGGTGCGGCGCGGGGCGGCAGGTTGCGGGTTTGGGTGGCAGTTGAGAACCTGACCGAGACACACAATGGAACAGAACCAGTTCCCGCCACTTCAACATCCTACTCTGACTCCAAAACGGATACAGCGACAGGGAGAACTGAGGAGTAATACTGTAAGAGCCACGCAGAGCGAGGCAAAGCTACCCATAGTGGGAGCCTTGGCCGGGTGAGCTACCCCAAATTTGAAATAGCTCTGGACTATCCCCATACAACCCCGGCTTGCCCGCGGGGCCACGCTTACTACGCTGCAATTCTGCGAGTAGTCCATGTCAATCAACAACGGCCATCGTGACATCGAAAACGGAGTTCTAGACGACGACCCTCGGTCTAGGACATGGCATCCCGGTAACGTGCCCCGGTTGTCTCTCCACGTCCCCCTCCTCGTGCCCCTCCACTGGTTCGTTGTTCCTCATAATGCGATTGTGAGCAACCCAACCGACCCCTCCTTACCCCCAGAAGAGAGACTCAGGAGAAGGGGGAGGAAGAGAAAGGTCGAGAAGGCAAAAAGTAGTCGCTTTCGCATGTTCCATATCCAGTGGCCCCCCTCCCTCTACTTCTTCTCGCCCTGCGTTTCCTTTTCACCCGATCATCTGTGCCAGTCAAGTTTCCAAAATCAGACCCTGATACTTTTTTCTCTTCCCATCACATTCCACGGACCAGACCGCAGCGTAACTTCCCGCACCCAGACCAGGGCCCCAAATCTCATCTAGTCTTCTACAATCTCATTCTACACTGTCGCCCATCATGGCCACGAACGGCACGTCCAAGCTGGACTGGACCAAGTTCTACAACATCATCGACGGTAAGCTCGAGTCGACAAGCAAGACGAGGAACAGCCCGAACCCATCTACCCTCGAGGCCAACCCCGAGGTTCCTCTCTCAACACCCGAAGACGTCGATAGAGCCGTGCAGGCCGCCAAGAGGGCTCAAGATGCCTGGTCCGAGACACCGTACGAGGAGCGCCAACAGGCCCTCTTCAAGCTCGGTGAAGCTCTCGAGGCGCACGCTGATGAGTTTGCGCTGATGCTCACCAAGGAGCAAGGCAAGCCTGTAAGTCATTGGCGTGGGACCGTGATGATCTTGGAACGAGTCGTGTTGACATCTCACGCGTCGCACAGCTTCCTTTCGCACAGTTCGAGATCGGCGAGGCCGTCAAGCACTTCAAGGGAATGACCAACCTTCCTTTCCCCGAAGAGGTTGTCGACAACAACCCCGATCGCCGCGTTCTCACGAGATACGTCCCCTTGGGCGTCGCCGTCGGCATCGTTCCCTGGAACTGTAAGTCGTACCACTCCCGTAGTCTTAGTCGATCAACCCGCTAATTTATTACGCCCAGTCCCCATCCTCCTCGGTATGCCTCCTCCAATCTGAAGCGCCCGGCGCAAGTTTCTAACTAACACGACTCAATAGCTTGCGGCAAGATTGCCCCTGCCCTCGTCACCGGCAATGCCTTTATTCTGAAGCCTTCGTAAGCTCCAGAACCGTTTCTGTTGTCATCTCATACACACATGCCAGGCACTGACACCGAGTCACAATAGTCCTTTCACACCCTACTGTGACCTAAAGCTTGTTGAGCTGGCGCAGCAGTTCTTCCCGCCCGGCATCTTCCAGGCCCTCAGTGGTGATGACAACCTCGGGCCCTGGTTGACCTCCCACCCTGGCGTGGACAAGGTCAGCTTTACTGGTTCGACGGCAACCGGCAAGCGTGTGATGGAGAGCTGCAGCAAGACCCTGAAGCGCGTCACTCTGGAGCTGTAAGTGGACGATTTGGGATGAATCTTTTGCGTCCCGCCTCTCCCCGGATGGCAGTGTGGAGTTAGTCGCTGACTCGTGAAATCGCAGTGGTGGAAACGATGCTGCTATCGTCCTTCCTGATGTCGATGTCAAGGCTGTCGCGCCCAAGGTACGTCAATGTATGCGACGAGATTTAGAAAATTCAAGCTGACGTATCACAGATTGCCATGCTGGCTCTGTACAACTCTGGACAGGTACGTAGGAGTTGATTGACAAAAGTCCCATCAAAAGAGCCAAAGTCGTACAGCCGCTGACATGACACAATTACTATAGGTCTGCATCGCCATCAAGCGCATCTACATCCACGAGGCCATTTACGACGAGCTTGTCGCCGAGATTGCCACCGCTATCAAGAACCTACCCGTCGGTGATGGACAGCAGGAGGGCACAATGCTCGGCCCCGTTCAAAACCAGATGCAGTTTGAGCGCGTCAAGGAGCTCCTCAAAGACATTGAGGAGACGAAGCTTAAGGTGGCCGCGGGATCCACCGCGCCCGCTTCCAACGGCAAGGGCTACTTCATCACGCCCACAATGATTGACAACCCGCCCGATAACTCGAGGATTGTCGTCGAGGAACCTTTCGGTGAGTTCATGTTCTCCCGCCACCCAAAGTGAAATTAATGCATGGGCGAACTCAATCGCTCAACCCGTCATTGCCCCTCAATCGTGCCGCCCCTCCTTTTTGCAAATGAAAAAACATTGTTCTCCACCGAGGCTAACATGGGGGTATCCCAGGTCCCGTCTTCCCCGTCCTCAAGTGGAGCGACGAGAAGGAGGTTATTCACCGCGCCAATGACACCCTCATGGGTCTCGGCGCTTCGGTCTGGTCGAAGGACGTTGAGAAGGCACAGAGCGTCGCCAAGAAGCTTAAGGCCGGCAACGTCTGGATCAACACCCACTTGGAGCTGCAGTACGATGCGCCATTTGGCGGTCACAAGCAGAGCGGTATCGGATACGAGTACGGCGCTGGCGGTCTGAAGGCGTACTGCAACGTGCAGTCCATGTTCATCACAAAGGCATGATCTCTTTTTTTAAACTTATGATAACCCCCCCTGCATATGCGTTCAAACGATGTAACAAGAAATAAAGATGTCTAAACTCTAAGGTGCTTGTACGTTATCAGTTGCCTCTTAGTAAGCTAGTGATGTGTCGACTGTCACTGTTACCATCTTTGGGTTTCATCGCCGCGCTTACTGTTGCAACTTTGCGAAGAAGATCGGCGTTATTGTCTCGAAGCATCTCTTTACGCCCGATGAGCAGCGCCTCGTGGAGTGCGAATCCTTCGGTCCAGACCAGAATCGCATATCTTTCGTAGGCAAATCATTATCGGACATTTAATGGAGCTATTATGGAGCTCTTAGTTCGTTGGTTGCGGGAGCCGGCGAGTTATAACTGCTGCCTTGCGGGTGGGCTCATTTCTCCAAGGACCCTTGAAGATATTTGATGCAATGCACGTAAGCTAACGCGCAAGGACGGAGATTCTCCGCTGTGATATTCGCAAGTTCGCCATCTAAGTGCGGCGATAGTTCCGCAATTGGCAAAGTGGGGTCTGTCAGGTCTACGCTACCGCGAAGTGCAGATTACTCAATGTTCAACAAGTTGCAAAGACCATAGGTCCAGGAAAGCCTGGGCAATCGGCAATTGCATCCTTCGCCAAGTTTTGTGAATCATTCCACACCGGTGACCGACTGCGTAGCTATCCACACCGACCTTGAAACCATGAAGCCATGTTGCGTTAGCGGAGGGCTTTCCGAAACACTAGAGGCCACGAAAGCCAAGCAGCTCGTTTCCTCGCATATACTTCATGACATATATCTCCAGACAATCCATCCATGATTCCCCAAGTTTCGACCGTTGCGAAGCCATGCTGAGCTTGCCAACTGAGGCACGAGTGGGACACACTACGATGATATTTCTAGCAGCTACTCCGCAAAAGACACCCTCACCAAGGACGGTTGTCTCAACTGCTGGTTAGATGCTCAGATCGTGTTCAATGAGGTCGAAGTCTTTGGTTATGAGATATATTTTTTTCGATGATCCTGTAGTTGTGCTTATTTATGACACTCATGGATTATTGTTCAGAAACATGGGCGTGGAGCATATCAATTAAGGTAATTGATGCTATTGCTACCACATTTGGGACATCGCAATTCAAACTATGTATCTGTAAGTTTACTAAAAGAACTTGCACCATAAAGCTCTAAGTCCAGCCGATTTCTATTTGCGGTCTCCAGATTGACACCATCGATCTCGGCGCATACGATCATGCATTCTTTTGTTGTTTAACGGACTAGAGGGACTAAACGAGTTTCAACGGAAGAACGATCAAATAGCAAAATTATTGTAGGTATTTACGCGAAGATAAAATTTGCTATGAGATCAATTGTCCGCAATCCCTTACGCAGGTACGGGTAGGTTACTGGGTTTGAGATGGCTACAAAAGTGAGCCGTGGCAACAATAATGATCAATCAACAAAGAAACAGCCGAAATAAGCATCTCCAAATTCTCATGTTGTCTGAGATGCCCTTGGTCTTATTCAAGTGCGATATGTAACTGGCACTCTATCCAAGACCAAATTATCTTGGTGTGTGGGGTGTGGCTGTGCAGTGTAGCGTCCGCTTCTTGACGGGACGGCGCTTACATCAACGCGCGCGGATACGGAGCACAACTCTGGCGAAGGATGCAGGGATGGCGCTAGAAACGCGCGATTTTACTTTCAAAAAACAATGAGATTGCTGTTTGTTCGTTATCTTGAATATGATGGTGGAATGGGATAAGCCTGGGTGCGCTGGGATCTATCCAGCCGGTAGAGGGTCTGGAGTCTGCTCGGGCGGGCGATGAACGCAGTGCTCAGCCACACCCCTCGACTGACGTTTCTTCCTTGCTCCATTTGCCATCATAAGGGTTATATCCGGAACATAGCTGGCAGCGGAGAATACACACTGAAGTTGACGGCCAATCTTCACACCAAAAGACATACTGGAATTGTGTTTACGACAGGCAGCAGTAGCAGCAGTTGTAAGAAGCATCGTCTCACTGCGGCGCCACACCAAGTCCGTCCATCATCCTCCGTTTTCACCGGAGACCGATCCGGCTGACGGCTCCGCTAGCCCCCAGCTACAGAGAATCGCCACGGACGACGGAGATGGCTGCAGCCGTATCGGACAAGCGATCGTACGTTGCTTGGCTCGATCCCGCATCGCAGCGGATAGGTGCAAATTCACGGAACACGCAGGTCTTGTATAAGATTAAGCGACTTGGATGGTGAGATGAGTTTAGTTAGAGCTCAGGTCCATCACAGAACACATTGACAGCACCAGACATCTCTTGATACATACAGAATACGCAGCGATCGGCATTTGAGACCGACTTTTCACCAGGACCGCCATATACGATACCCATTTTCCTTACTTAATCAAACACTTTAGCCTCAACTTTCACAATGACTCAAGTCGCTATCATTGGAGGCGGTCTCTCCGTATGAACGGTCTTAATCTCTGATATCTTTTCATGTCTTGACTTACCATTCTCCCAGGGACTCACCCTGGCCCTTTACCTTCACAAGAGTGGCATCTCCTCCGCAGTCTACGAAGCCAGGCCCAAAGACTTCGTCTCAGGCGGCAACATCGCCCTGTCACCCAACGCCCTCCGCGTCCTCGACCACATTGGCGTTTACGACACCCTCCGCCCCCAAGGTTTCGCCTTTGAGTCCGTCGCCTTCCTCAACGGCCGTGGCGGCCTCTTGGCCAAGGTCCTTAACGGCAGCTATGAAGAGTACAACTACCCGGCCCTGCGCATCCGCCGCACCGTCCTTCGCGGCGAGCTGATCCGCCAGCTCGAGCTCCTCGGGGTGCCGATCCACTACGAGAAGAAGTGCGCCGGCGTTCGCGAGGAGACAGATACCTCGGCGACCGTGGAGTTCGAGGACGGCGAGACCGTGACGGCCGAGTTCGTCATCGGCGCTGATGGAATTCACTCGCGGGTGCGGTCGTTTGTGCGCCCTAACGGCAGCAAGCCCGTATTCCAGGGCCTTGCTGGTATCTCTGGCACCTTCAAGCTCAGCGACTTGCCCGACGTTGACACGGATATGCACTACCCCTGTATGCTTTTCGGCGGCAACGGCTCCTTCGCCGTCATGCCGGCGTCGGCGGACGGCGATGAGGTTAGCTACTTTGCGACCTTTGAGGTTGAGGAGCGGCCGCGTGAGGACTGGGCGGCGCTGGACGCCGACAAGGAGACACTGGCGAAAATGATTAAGGAGAGGTTCCCCATCGATTCGAGCTGGCCGGAGGTGGTTCGCGCGCTGTGCCACCGGACCCCGACTGAGTCGTTGACTCTCTGGCCGTGAGTAACATGATGATCAAACGCTATGATTATGAGTATACTGACGAGAAGATATGTAGCTTCTACTTGCTCTCTGCCAAGGAATCTTGGTCCTCCCCGAGCCGCCGAGTCCTCCTCATCGGAGACGCAACTCACGGCATGCCCCCAACTGTAAGTGAACCACCACCACCAGTAGAGGATGAAATTATGCTGACAGCTTTCCTACAGGGCGGTCAAGGTGGCGCGACTTCCTTTGAGGACGCGGAAACCCTCGCATACACCCTCGCTCACATCAAGGCGCCGCTCTTCAACGACAGCGCCCGCCCGCAGGTCATCCAAGCGTGGGAAGACCACCGAAAGGACCGCGTGTCCAAGATTGTGGACTTTACCACCCAGAACGGCGACCTGCGCAAGACGTCCACCTCTTTCATTCACCAGTGGATCAAGGAGATGACCATCTGGGCTTACATCAAGATGGTCGGTCCTCACATGGGCTGCAAGTGGATGTACTCGTACCACGGGGAGAGCGTTCGCGCTGTTCTCGGCCGCCTGGGAATCGACGAGTCAAAAGCGAAAGCACAGTGAGGGGGACTGAAGGCATGGAGCGGACGAGGCGAAGAGATGGAAGAGTTTCCACCTGTTGGATGTTCACAACTACCCTTTCCTTTGATCTCTTGGCGTTTGTCATTCCATAGACTGTAGAATTTTAGTATCAACATCTTCACTGAACAGTCGGTTTCTATCTGTTTCAATGCTACCGACAGGTTGCAAGCTACGAGACAAGACCTTGGGCACATCCCTTTCTGCGAGGCATTGGGAGTTACATTATCTTTCTCAGAGCACCAATTGATCATCGTTGAGAAGCGCTAGATCTTTTCTCTTCTCCTTCATTCTCGGATACAAAGTAGATGTAGGCCCTCTCGTCATATGTCACGAGGCACAGACAGCTGCCAAAGTGGAGTACTTCAGATGGTTGCAATGAGGCACCTGCAAAATCATGGCTAGCCCGACTAGCGCAGGCCTCGATGCTACCTCACCCTCCAACTGCTGGAGTTGGTGGCCTTGCATTTCTTCGGCAGTTACCTATTGCGCCTGTGCTCGAGGCTGAAGCTTTGCAAGCCTCGGCTTGAGACGCTCTTTGATGTCGTCCCATGTGTTTCAAAGACCGATGTTGGTGTCCTTCTCCAGCTTTTTGACATGCATCATCCGACTGCATACGTCAGAACCCGCCAATGGTTCATCTAGTCTCTGGCATTCACTCTAGAGTAAATACTGAAATACGACATAGCAAGCTCTCAAAACTAGTAACGGCTGTACATTGCGCCCTGGATTGAACGTTGCCCCTGAACTCATTCGGGAATCGATGCGGGGTGATCCTACTTCAAGGCCCTATAGACTCAATTATCAGGTATATGCCCTAGTTTAAGGTGTAAAGCCGTCTTGAAGCGTGCAAACAGACGTGCCTGTTGATGGCAGATGACAACTTCAGCTCCCGGTGAGCCAATCGCATGCGTTGCCCTGGACTGTTAACTCGACCCATACCTTGGAGCCCTGAGAAACCTGCAAAATCTCCGTGAACATATATTCTAGACCTTTGACCTGTCTCTTTTTGAGATGAGTGTCTGCATCGCATCTGCTTTTTATATTCAAGTCATTCGTTCAACCGAACGTTTCACCAAGAGAAATCATCCGAAATGTTGCTCTCACTTCCAGCCTGCCGAATGGCATTGGTCCTCGCCTTCCTTGGCATGCAGACTGCGTCCTTAGTTCATGGCCTTCCTGCATCGGAGACCGACGTGCTCACGACCGACTTGAAACGAATGGCGCTAGGCTTTCCAGATCTTGAGGAAAGACAAGATATTCCCGACGTTCTGGCGAAGTTTCCTTCTGGTCCACTGAACCAATTTCTCAGAATAATCAGCACTCTGCCAGCAGGCGCGGCAGCTCTCGACGCAGTGGGACTGGTCTTAACCCCTCTCCAACAGGGTCTCGCGGATTCTGTCGGCATCGACACAACGGAGGATGACTTGGAGGAGAATACAGCGTGCGCCGATATCACCGTCATATTTGCTCGGGGCACCACTGAGCCCGGCAACGTCGGACTCGTTACAGGGCCGCCATTTTTCGATGCTCTCAATCAGCAGCGTGGGACCAGAACTGTTATGATCCAGGGTGTCGAGTACCCCGCGACCTTTGCTGGGTTCAACAAGAATGGCACCGAGGGTGTCCCAAGCATGTAAGTTTTCCAAAAGATATCTCTCTTGGGTCGAAGATGGACCAAGCATAGCAAGAGGCGAAAGCTTACTCTAGGCTGCTTAGGACGAACTTCATTAATGAAGCTGCCACAAAGTGCCCGAATACCAAAATTGTAATGTCAGGCTACTCTCAGGGTGCTCTGGTTGTTCGGAGCACTGCAAACACTCTTCCGGCGGCTACCATGGCCAAGATCAACTCTGTTTTGACATTTGGGGATCCTGGCAACCCGAACGCCATTACGGGCGCTGAGGGCAAAACTAAGATCATCTGCCATGAAAATGATGCTGTTTGCAGTGGAGGCTTTATCACTGTTGACCATTTGACGTATGCTGAAGATGCGGACGCTGCTGCTCAATTTGTCTTGCAGATGGCAAGTGGTAAGTAGAAGACCTATCTTGGAAAGAATAGTTATGAATGCTAATGAGGCTGACTTCTTCTAGCGTGAGCTGAGTTCTATTTCGACATGGCTGTGCGAAGGGCGACAAGGCATGCTCGGATGATGGACAAGCTCGCGCTCTACTACCTTACTTGTGCCGTTTCACCACGTCTCATTTTATTTTTGCATGGTGTCGAAGAAGGCTGTATTATTGTTGTCAACCCGCTCGAGCTGAGACTATCGTCTCGAGGACGAAAATTGTTGCGACATTACTATAATAGCCCTCACAGACCATGCCTCAATTGACACCAATCCAAAGTCTGTGTCAACATCTATTAGCCTTTTTGCACGAGTCAACCAGCCATCATGGTGACTGAATACCAACGTCTAATAGAATCTCCTAAACGGGAAGAGATCGTGAAAGAGGTCGGGATGCCCCCCGCACTAAACGGCATGTAAGCGGGTCCCGAACCATTGAAGCCCCTCGATGGCCCAATTGGAGAGACTTTGAGACAAGGACAGGCGATGACGCGATCCCGCGGCGCAAATCCGCCATCACCACGGTGTCACTCTGCACACGTTTTGATATGACGAGATTTTCTCGACTGCAGTGGCCCGGCCATTACTTCGCGGTAATGCATTCGAAATCCCGATCCAAAGGGCCGGGTCGAATTCCTTCATGAGTTTGGAATATCTCTCCCAACCTCAAACAACATTGGACACTCAACTTGCGAATCTCCAACTTTCTAGACGGGAGATCGGTGACTGATAAGCGACTGAGACCGTACTGGACCACTGATACCGTCTGAGCTTGGCAGGATCATTGACTTATCAAATCCTCCGCCCCCTCGCGTTCACATTGCACCATTCTACAAAGCCCGTCGCCACAATGTCACGATATAGAGCTTACGACAAGGACAGCGATGACGTTCCTGTCATCGAGGACGCACGCGTCGGCCGCGCAGGCCATGCCGATGATTCTACTTCAGCGGACGCCGACTTCGCGGCCATTGACCCGCACAGCGGCGTTAAGCGAGGCCTCAAGACGCGGCACCTCAGCATGATGGCTCTGGCGGGCATCATCGGGCCGGGTCTCCTGATCGGTGCGGGCGGCGCGCTCTCCAACGGCGGGCCCGCCGCCTTGCTCATCGGATTTGGCGTCATTGGTGTCATTGCGTTTAGCATTATGCAGAGCTTGGGCGAGTTGACGACGTTGTATCCTAGCGGTGGTGCTTTCACTGGGCTCGCTGATCGGTTTGTCGACAAGGCTTTCGGTGTTGCGCTGGGTTGGAATTACTACATCATCTGGATGTGTGTCTTGGCCAATGAGTACAACGTGCTGTCGAGCATTTTCGTCTTCTGGAGTGACAAAGTGCCGCTGTGGGGTTACTTCCTGATCTTCTGGGTATGCATTTTCTATGAACATCTTGGAGAACAACGCCGCTAATATGCACTCAGACACTCTTCCTTGGCTTCCAACTGCTCGGAGTTGAGGCTTTCGGAGAGGCTGAGTTCTGGTTGGCTTTGCTGAAGTTAATTGGCTTGGTTGCATACTTTCTCTTCTCCATCGTGTAAGTCACCATCCACAATACCAATTCCGATCAACACAAACTGATTTGGAACACAGATACGCAGCTGGCGGAATCCCTGGACAAGAAGCCCTGGGCTTCAAATATTGGCGTGACCCCGGCGCCTTCACCGACGGCTTCCGAGGTACCGCCAAAGTCTTTGTCTTCTGCTCCACATTCTACGCCGGTGTTGAGTCTGTCGCCGTCGCCGCCACCGAGACCAAGAATCCTCGGGTCGCCGTGCCACTCGCGATTCGCCAGGTGTTCTGGCGCATTATCTTCATCTACATGGGCTCTGCCTTCTTCTTCGGCCTTACATGCCCGGCTAATGCCGACGAGCTCGTGAACGGGGGCTCCCGAGCCGTGAAGAGTCCCATGACGGTGGCTATCCAGAACGCCGGCTGGGAAGGGGGCGTGCACTTGATTAACGCCTTCATCTTTGTTACATGCTTATCAGCATGCAACTCGTCCATCTACATCGGATCTCGCACCCTTCTGTTCATGGGACAGGATAAGAAGGCGCCCAAGATCTTAGGTAGGACTGATAGCCGGGGTGTCCCCATCCCGGCTATCGTGTTCACCAACCTGTGTGGCGCGCTGTCCATGATGAACATTAGCACAGGCGCTAGCAAGGCGTACTCGTACATCGTTAATCTCAGCGGTGTCTCGACTTTCCTCGTCTGGGGTTCCATCTCTTTCATCCACATCCGATTCAGACAAGCGTGGAAGGCTCAGGGCCATGCGGAGAGTTCACTGCCATTCGTTTCGTTATGGTATCCGTGGAACGCCTACTTCGGTTTGGCGGCAAACATTTTCCTGGCTATTGTACAAGGTTGGACCACCCTTGCACCATTCGATGCTGGATCATTTGTCGACGCTTACATCTTGTTACCCTTGTTTCCCATAATTTGGTTTGGATACAAGTTCTGGTATAAGACGCATTTCTGGAGGGTGGGCGAGATTGATCTGATGTCCGGTCGCCGACGCGATCTGGATGAGTCGCGAGAAATTGAGACTGGAGAACGTGACTTGGACAGGCTACCTTGGTGGAGGCGGTTGCTCAAGAGCTTTTGAAGCCATCAGATGGATCATGGACTTCGGTATCAACCTGAAGAATGGTGCGTTTCGGAAAGATGGCTGTATTTAGTTAGACACTGTCCGTTGAAAGAAATGCTGTGCCCTTTTCAATGATCTTCAAGATCCCGGTGGGATGAGGGATGCAGTAAGGACAACAATGCCCTATCGCATAGCGGTCTTGTTTTAGATTTGCGGGTGGGTTGGTCGAACTTATGTGAGCCGTTGGAGGCGGAGTCGGTTTTCACCTTTGATGAGGGCCGAAGTCCGAGTTGGGAGTGCACCCAGGCCCCTTTTTTCTTCGTCGCATTCGCACCCGCCTGCGCACTCGCCGCGCTTGACCTCCGGACTCGGTTATGCACGTAATCTTCTCTTTCGGAGAACACCGCTGGAAAGTTCAAACTAGTAGCGTGTCTCACTTGTCATCCCACAACGTGCCGCGCGCATATCCAGGGTCGGGATGTGTTGCAGACATAGGTATGTCCGCCGGCCTGTCCGGAGGATCCCAGACATCATTCGACATTGAAAATCTCCGGGTTTCTTTTCCATTTTACACTCGCAATGCAAAGCCGAAATCGATCCGAATGCCTCATAGATCAGTGGTGTTGAGCTGGATTCGGACGCAGTGAAGTCATTCAGAAGATGGCGACATATGCACACGGTACCGAGTCTTTACCTGGACCGGTTCCCGGCCAGCCCATAGGCTTCTTGGACGGCTGCGAATCACAGTCAACTCAAGAGACTGGCTCTACATCACTCGGGCTTTGCAAATACGAAAAAAAAAAGAACACAGACGAAGGAGATCGGAATCAAAGTCTTGCTCTTATTCAAAGAATCTCCGAAAGGCACCTCATTAAGCAGCAAGAATCGCGAAATCAACCCCGATCCAGAGAGTTGCAGCAATATCTCGATGTCCTAAAAGATGCCATCCCAAGACTGCCTGACAACAATCTAACCCCCGGTCCTGAACTGCCGACGATTACCCTCAGTCGGCCCCGACTAGCGTTTCCGATCATCATCAAACAGCGATTATCCAGAACATTGTCACCAAAATTTACACCAACTTACCCCCCGGGCTTACAAAATTGCGGCATCGAGAAGAGGGATTTCTTGAGATGTATAGATGACCTGAACCGAGTAGACGAGCAATCAGGGCCACCAGGAGACCATGCCATGGATATCAACGGCTTCGCTAACATGACGGCCTTCACCATAGCGCGTCCCACGCTGCTTTCAATGGCGATAGGCGTGGCGTCAAGCTATAGAAAGCATACAACAAAACGCAGCGCAATGACTGAAATTCTGCAAAAGGCGAACAACGAGCTGTTCCGTCCAAGAGGCCTAGTTTGCGTTCTTGTCACCTGCAGACGGACAGAAACGAAGGAGCCTGAGAAGACACCAGAGACAAGAGGCACAGCAGCATCAACAGACATCCTAGATCGAACTCGGGAGAAAAGGTTGAAATTGAGGCAAAGGGTAGTGGGGAGATTGAGGGATTTCAGATGGTCCGAACTTTCGCAATTCGAATCCTACGACGAGCACAACTTTCATTCGGATCTAGACAGTCATCGGCTGCCTGCGAGACACTCATATCGATCAAGACGGAGAAGAAGCCCGAGCATCGAACGCGAGGACAAAACAGGACTTGGGCAAGTGATACAAGAGAACTGCGAAAACGGAAACATCTGGGAGGGCCGACAGGGACAGTCCACACTGAAATGCGGAGTATCGAAGCATCCAGGAAGGACGAGGCATGAATTATTTTCTCTGAGTGGCAATAAAGCTACCACTTGGGATTTTGTTTCGAACCAATCTTCAAGCCTTGGATTGATACCAGGAAAGGTTGAAGTCGAAAGCCTCACTGCCGATTTCTTTACCGCCGAAACAGATGAGGATGCAACTCGCGAGGAGGCACAGCAAACGAAAATGAAGCCAGAGCACACCAGTGCTGTCTTGACGCATCGAATTTATAGTCAGGGCAAGACTTTGAGTTCAGTAAGAACCCCCTTTCAAGGCATCGTGATTTTGTCTGACTTTCCTTGCAGGACGCACTTTATCTCATGATACTCAATTCCCCCGAGGAAGCCCAAGATGCGAATCAGGACATCAAAAAAACCTTCGTTTGACAGTCAACTACTAGGATTCCCCTGGAGTACTCTACGTAATTGCAGGCCAAAGGCTAGTTCATCGTACTTAGCCTAGCTATAATCTATCAAGTTAGCCATGTGACTCTGTGTCACTCAAGTGCACCCGATCACCTTTCAGTTCCCGCAGAAATCTTCAAGATGCACCGATCGTCTTTCATTCTATGACCTCTGGTGCTGCCAGTATTGCCACGACTTTTCTGGCGATACCACAAATTTGAATTGACCTTCACACCAGGAAGGTTCAAGTCTATGCCTGCATGTTCTACTCGTCTAGCGAAAAGAAGTTTTGGAAGATATTATGGAATGTCGCAGCCGTACACAGTGACTAGTCTGACTCTCCTCCTGTTGTTTTCCAGGGCATTTCCTGTCACTACAGCTACCGCAGATCGAAAGAGGTTCTCCTACAAGATCCGAGGCTGAGATGCTGTCTCTCGGCTCTCTGCGTTCTTTGAGAGAGGAACTAGGGCTTCAAGAGCCAGGACCGAAGCTCCTTGGACCTCAAAAGCCTGAAGTAGAAAGGAATTGATCAAATTTCTGAAGCCTCGAGATAAAAGTTACGAGAATGTTCAATGCCCAGAAAACATGACAGAGGTGGGTTTCTGAGGAGAGTTGGAAGTGGCATGTTTTTGGTCCTACTGCTCACGAGAAGTCTACCTTACATAGACAAAGAGGCAAGGCTTTCGACAAACCCAACTTTCAAGACAGAATGAGTCAAAACGATTAGAAAAAGCGATTGTAGGTATCTGTCTACTTGTTTTTGAATCCATCCTGAAAATCGACGTTTGCACCAACAACATTGTGGCGCAAAGTGTATATGTAAGCAGCTTACTTGTCAGCTTACACTGCTGCCTAAGGTAGACTTGATCACCTCTCCAACCTTCTAGATGAGAATAGACTTGTTATCCTTACTTATGAATCTCATTGTCTGGGGTTGCCTTATGACTGCAAGGCTTCCCGACTCCGCGTTCAGACTCATCATCCAATTTTTAGCAATGGCATCCATATGTCGCCGCCACATCTTCCCCCTATTTGTCGCAACGACCACCACTTTTGGCGGACTACTCGCGCTCTTCAACCCCGCTGGTTCAATTAGAGCTTTCGGCCTTCCGGATAGCATCGCCTCGTCCCCGACCGCTCATGCTACCTTCAGCCTTTCTTCGGCACGCACATCAGTCATTGGACTGCTGATTTACACATTTTATGCCAGAGGCGACTTCGGGGCTATCGACACCGTTCTTTTGACTTCAGGTCTTTACTGTGGTATTGTCGATGGATATGTTTGCTATAAGGAAGGTGAGCCGGTAAAGGCGCTGCTCCGAATATTGAGCTCATGGGCGGTTGGGCTGTATGGTGGGCTAGGGATTACTTCTGTAAGCCATGTTACACATGTTAATTCTATGTTTGAGGCAGCTGTTGACTATGGTATTTTGCATCCACAGGGATGAAAGGCACGTTACCTGACTAAAATTGTGTCGAGGAACACGAGCGAGCATATGAAGGAGAGCACTGCGAAGACTGGGTAACGCGTCGTTGTCAAGCATATTGAATGAGAATCGTTGATCAGGTAAGATGTTAGAGAGATGACAGCCTCGAAGAACTAGCCCGGTTGATGGCTGAAACGCGATGCCCAGATGCTTCTCGAGCGATGGAACACATCATTTCAACTATGGTAGCAACTCTGAATCATATCAATCACAAGCCCTTTCGCAGTGCTTTCCTCAACTTGTTTTGAATCTCACCCTGAGACATCTCATGATGTCTCGACGGGCTTACTGAAATATCAACACACGCTTCAAAATCTAGACTGAGGCCTCGCGCGGTTTTGCTCATGACCTCTCATTAGATGCTATCAACTTCAACTGTCGGGAACTTCAATAAGTCTTTGTCATTAATGCTCAAAGCATTCTTTAAGGCTGCAACAAACTCTGCCCAAGTGGTTGGGTCTTCGTTGGAAGGAAAGGAGCTCATTCCGCAGATGATCCTGGAGAACATTGCATGAGCATCACCATCTCCATCCGCAATTCCTAGAAACCCCGTGACTTCCTTTAGAAATTGCTCTCTCCACATATTTGCACCAGTGTGTAGGAGTCTTTTCACACATCGGCTCGCCACTATTTCGTAGAGAAACGTAGACGTTGGGAGACTGTCGTGATCGCATATTTGGAGTCCCTGAGCTAGCCTGTCACGAAACAGGTGAGGGAGAAAAGACTGCCCTTGACTCTTCAAATGGTTGATCACTCGGTGATAGAGTTGGAACGGCGTAATGTTGTAGTCAGCTGGCAATCGGTCTTGAATGCTGTCCTCCTCTGTCAGCCCCAGTAGACCATAGACCCGGTCCCGAGGATCCGTACAATGATAGTCTTTCGAAAAGGCGAGAAGGCGGGTCAATTTGGGTCTCGCTCCAAAGCCGGGGTCTTTGTCTGTGAAGGAAGGGCGTTTCGGATCTGTTTGCCACGACCGTCGGAGTTTTGATAACTCTCTACAGCTGTTGACACGGGGCTCGATGCTGTAATGGCTTTCCGACTTTGAGAGATGCTTGAACCCAAGATTTGTCTGGTCAGATATGCCAAATGGTCGAAACTGTTGCAGGGAAGTCCATGATATGGCGACAGATCCGCATAATACCCATAACTCTCTAGCCAAAGTAAACTCTTGCACAATCCATATCCGGGACCAATAGGGTCGTGACACAAACCACTTTGCGTCTTTAAAAGAGAACTTCCGCTTCTGTGAGCGAAGGTAGTGGTTCCTCTCCCTTCGGGCAGTGTGCTTGAGGCCCTTGAGATATTCAAGCATGGCGGCGATTTCGCCTTCTTCCTGTCCTATCCACGAAATCACAAAGTGTGCCATGGAAAAAATGTCCTTCATCAAGCCGACTTGATGACCGCGCTCCGAGTTGTCATTTTGGTTGATGCAAATCGCGTCAACCCAGAAATATTTTGGTAATATCGTGCCGGACTTCTTCTGCTGTGAGATGCAGTTTTCGTCGTTGTTGGCGATATTTTCCAGTTGTTGGAGGGCGTGCCATAGATTCTCTCGCACCCGGAATGTAACTTCGTTGATGGTTATGTCGTGTGTTGGTTCAGGCGCTCCCCAAACGTATGAGAGAGCGATAAACGGAGGAGCGTCGTTAAGCGAGTGTGTTGTCAGCGTGCATTGCAAGGGTTCGTCTTCCTGCTGGGGCTGAAATTGCAGGAGCCTGGTTGATTTTGTTTCGCGACTTAGCGTAGGGTAGATTTCATCTGTCAAAGACATGGTTCTGTAATTTCGGTGGACCCCGTGGTGATCTGAGAGTGACAGAGTGCTTGTGTGACTGGACCGTTGAGTAAACGCGGCCCAGATCAGCTATGATATTGCGAATCTCGCCCTCGAACTAGCGAACGTGGTTCTTGTTGATGCAATCATGTGAGAAACCTCAGCAAACTAGACAACATTAGTAAGGGTGCAGAAACTGGCTCTGTAGGGTGATGCACGTGAGCGGGTCTCCTGCCACAGACTAGCACTGATTGGATCTTCTTTGTGACGCAAAGGAGGGGGCATTCGGTCAGACTCGCTGCCGCAATTTGTACAATGCCTGGAGAGAACATCCTCAACCCCAGAGACAGCCTACGTCCATGTCCGTCGATTCTCTAGACACATTGTTGTCATAGCCTGGAGGTATTACATAAATACCAACACCAGTGCGTGGATCTAGGTCAGAGTCACCGGACGCGAAACCACCTCGAACTCTTCCATAATTAACGTGGCTCGCATTGCAAGATAGCTCACATTAAAAAGTTTCATGAAGCAGGTAGGTATTAATATGATTATGTCAACTATAGCGATACTACTCAAGCCCGGCACATCTGTCCGTTAGCTGCAACAGTCCACGCCTCGCTACCGACGCCCTTAAGGACGTAGAAGAGCGATTCAGGATCATACTTCTTCTTAATCGTGAGCAACTTGGCGTAGTTGGTACCAAAGAAGGCGTTCTGCCAATCCGGCTGCCTGAAGTCAGCCTCGTTCATGTACGAAGCGCTACCCGGAGTAACAGCCGTAATCCAAGGCATGAACTCCTCCGTCATGCGTTTCTGCGAAGCCTCCATATCGGCCCACGGCGCAGCATTGTCCCAGTTGGTGATGAGCTGGAGCTGCATGACGGCCTTGCGCCACGCCGGGTGGACCGAGTTCTCGGGCGCACCGGCGGGCTTGTTGTAGTGTCCGACGCTACCGGCGAGGAGGACGCCGTTGGCGGTCAGGTTCTGGACGACCTTTTGGTATTCTGCGTTGTTGTTCTCGATCGCTTCGCGGGGTATAAGACGACCACCGAACTGGTAGCGTGTCACCTCAAGGTTGCCTTGGGGAAGGGGACCCATGTAGCGGTCGTAGTGGTCGCGGTAAGACAGCTCGCTGTAAGCAACGGCCAGAGTGATACCAAGTTCTTCCTGGAGGGCCTTGGTGAAGGGCGCAAGGACGACGTCGCGAACGTAGGCAGCAGTCGAGTTCCAGACAGTCAAGGGACGAAGGACGAGGAACTGGGCGTTATGGAGGAAGACAGCAAAAGCGCCCTGGTCTGTCATGGCGGGCAGCAGCTTGTGGAACTTGGAGACAGCGGCGTTGAACTTCTCGGGCGTGGTCGTCGCGGCGAGAAGCTGGAAGGCAGCACCGCCGACGGTTTGGGCCGGGTAGGCACGGACGGTCAGGCCAGTGACGACGCCGAAAGTGCCGCCGCCGCCACCGCTGAGGGCCCAGTACAAGTCGGTGTTCTGTGTCGCAGAGGCGACGACAGTCTTACCGTCGGCGGTGACTACTTGGAAGGCGAGGGTCTGATCGGCTCCGAGACCGAACTGAGTTGACAAGGCAGAGTGGCCACCTCCCTGAGTGAAACCGCCAGCAAGGCCAACTGTGGCGCATTCACCAGAGACGACAGCAAGACCCTTTGCATGGGCAGCCTCAAGGATCTCGTAACCGAGGACACCGGCACCGACATTCACGGCCGGGCCGGTGTAGTACTTGTCAGACCATGTTGAGAAGTCAATGGTCTTCAAGTGGTTGGTCCAGATCGCAAGGGCCCCGGCACCGGTAGAACGTCCAAGGAAGCTAAAGAGAGGAAGCTGTCAGCTACTGTGGAGCGGGGCTTGTAGTCGAGATCAGGCTACTCACTCATGACCGGTGTTGCGGACGACGACTCGGAGGTTGTTGAGTTTGGCAAACGTGAGAGCAAGGCTGACGTCTGCGGTGCAGCGGACATCGACAGCGTAGCTAACATAGTTGCCGAGGGTGCAGGGGACAGCTCTGTCAGTAAAAGGGTCGCAGGACTGGTTGGCAAAGTAAGATTGCATAACAGAAGACGAGGAGGGAATGCTAAAACAATCATGTCAGCAACACACTCCGTCTGGAACAGGTTGGTTGAGGGGGTAAACCGAGGAATAGACGGGACTTACTGTGTCAAGGGGTTGGTCCAGGATGACTGCAGAGCAGCACAAGCCGCGGCATCGTATGTAGGATCATGGCAGGGCGATCCAATGGGCTTGGTGGCGACCAGACGCCCACCAACGGTTGCGTTGAGCAGGTTCCAGGCGGAGACTGAGGGCCAACAAGAGTCACCGGGCAGGCAGTGACATTGCTGCTTGGGGGTTGCTGCAGCTGTTGTGATGGTAGCCAAGGCGGTGGCTACGGCCAGATAAGAGAGCCTCATGTTGATGACTTGAGTTGGGCAAGCAGTCAAAAGGCCTAGAGATGGGAGAGGAGGTGGAGGGAGAGAGAGTGAGGGGTGGGTGACAGATTAGGTGCAAGCCACGAAAAGTGTGACTGGTTCTGGAACTCATATATCCCTCGCATCCATCATGCGGGATGCCAACATCTCTACCCCTGGAAGCACGAGGGCCTCGGCTTTTCGAGATGGATGTAAACTCCGCCTCCTTTCGAACTCGATACGGATTGTATTGGCAGCATTGCAACTGCGTTATCCAGAGTCGTATGTGGCAACTGCGTTGGAACTGTGTTGGTAATCTCCAGATCGATAGACTCACGGCTGCAATGCCCCAAGCCGGTCCGACTGACAGTCTGGAGTACGCGGACGGGAAGAAACCATGTCGGCCGAGACAGGGCTTTTTCGGGGTCCCCTTCATAAGAATAATGGAACTTCCTATTAAGGCGTGTGACATCCGACGAGCACCCGCATTCTTTCTGCGCAACCGTGGGGCCGGAGTCGACCGGGGTGAGGGACAGAGAACGGATGAGACACCAAGCGGCCCCGACAATGACAAGCCCAGTGTCAATCTGTTCGTGGGGGCCGACTAGTTCTTGGTCTCCCCCAGCTTGGAGCCCACAGATCTAAATGAAGTCCCAATGATTAAGGTTGAATTAAACAGAGACTAAAACGACAACACGAGCTTCTCCTGCATTCTAGCTCCAAGACGGCGGCTTCAAGCACTTCTTATCACAATTACCACAGAAGCCACCGCAAGAGGTGTGGAAAAAAAAGCCACCGCTACCAGATCTAATACTGAGTCAAAAAATGCGCCACTGAAGGAATATTCTCCAACGATTCCTTCACCCGCGATCTAGTAACGGGACTAATTTCCGAGACCCAGACGTCAGCCGCTGCTGTGCCGCCGGTGATTTCGATGCATTGCTGCACCTTTTTTTCCTGCAGGGGCTGCTTGGCCGGGGGCGCGAACGACGGGGTTGGTTCCCGTTTGGGGGAAGCCAAGAACCTACCAACCAGAAAACCAGACGGCTAGTTCGGAAAAGTTCCAGCTAAAGAGGGGGGCAGTATCAGCTTTCCCTAACGTACCCTAGTCTCGAAGGAGGACTTCGTAGACAAGAGCTCCGAAGTAGCTGCATCGGTTCGTGTCGCAGAAAGTGTTGGACCAAAGGAACAGCGTATCATCGTCCCCTCGAAGCGAAGGGAGAGTCGGGTAAAGTGGTAGACTAAGGGACTAGTGGTCAGTTATGGCGCGCCCTTGGGAATTCCTCGACAAGAGTTGGCGACTTGGCGATGAACCAAACCTGGGAGGTGGCCGGTCTGCCACATGGAGGACCAGGAATGTAATCTATGCAAGAAGCCCGTCCGATTTCATTTATGAAGAGAAGATCTTCCGGATCTCTGGGAATCCTCCAAGACGGAACCGCTGCTGCCCTTGCCCGCCCGTGAATAACAATGGCATCCTTCTTCCGCCTCGTGTTGGCGTTGCTCCTTGGCATCCTCGTCGCCGTACAGGCGCAGGAGACGACGATTTCTGCCACCAAGCTCACTTATCCAGCATGCGCTGTAAGCTTATTTCTCTTTCTCCCTTGGAACATTTTGACATCTCGGGGCGCCGTTGGGAAACCGTTGGAGGAAAGTGGCTAACCGGCTGGGCATTTTCCCATAGACAAAATGCATAGCTAGCGCTTTTGGTGGCGGCTACTGTGCTCCAACAAACCAGACTTGTATTTGCACGAACCAGCAATTCCAACTAAACGTCACGCTGTGTGTCTCGGCAAGTTGCACGATACCAGAAGCACTCGGTAAGTCCCTGATTCTCTCTGTCATTCGTTGATGAATGTCATGAAGGCTTACTAGAATTCACCACAGCCACGAAAAATGCGAGCTTAACAAACTGCGGCGCTCCCGTGCGTAATCGATCCGGCGAATATGTCGTCCTCTCCAACGTCATGGCCATCCTGGCAGCGGTCTGCGTTCTCAGCCGGTTCGGATACAAGATCTTTCTCGCGGGACTCGACGTCGGCTGGGATGACTGGTTCGTAATGGCGACGTTGATCGCAGCCATGCCGAGCGCCGTCATCACTGTTCACGGAACCACTGCGAACGGTCTGGGAAGAGACATTTGGACGCTGACGCCTGAGCAAATCACCAACGTCCTCTTTTACTTCTATATCATGGCCTGGCTGTACTTCTTGCAGGTGACGCTGGTCAAGCTCGCCATTATCTTCTTCTACATGCGCATCTTCCCCGCGCGAGAGGTTCAGCGCGTTCTCTGGGCGACGACAATCTTCATCATTGTCTGGGGGTTCGCGTTCGTCATCACTGCAGTTTTTCAGTGCAAGCCGATTCACTATTTCTGGGTCAAGTGGGATCGCATGCACGAGGGTAGTTGCGCAAACGCAAACGCCATCAGTTGGTCCAACGCCGCCATCAGCATCGCGCTGGATCTATGGATGCTCGCAATCCCCCTCTGGCAGTTGCGAGCTTTGCGACTGCACTGGAAGAAGAAGGTCGGAGTCGCGTTGATGTTCATCGTGGGCACATTGTAAGTTTCTTGACTCGCGCACACTACCAAGACCTGGGGTTACTGGGTCTTGGATTGTTTCTTCCGTGCGAGAAAAAACAAAAACTAACGTCGCATCAGTGTCACCGTCGTGAGCATCATCCGATTGCAGTCCCTGGTCGACTTTGCAAAGGGATCCAACGCTACCATGGACTTTATCGACGTTAGCGTGTGGAGCACGATTGAGATCTGCGTAGGCATCATGTGTGCGTGCTTGCCGTCCATCCGCATGATCTTGGTCAAGATCTTCCCGGCCATGTCCGGCTCGACACTTCGTAGCAAGGGACGTCAATATTACCAGCAGTATGGGAGCGACGTCAGGTCCAAGAATGCCGCTCAGCGCAGCCAGGCTCGGACTGTTGGTGTAGTCACCGTTGACCGGTCCAATTCCGTTCACGATGCGCATGATCGGCAGATCAAGTTCCAGAAGACGTTTACGGTATCCTATAGTGATAGCGACGAGGCGGATCTTGTGCCGATGAACAATCTCCAGAAGCCGGGAAGAGTTCATCGTTAGTGGATTTCAAAATCTGCTATTCGAGCGGGTGTTCGCGAGAGAGAATCTATAGAAATTTTGAAATAATCCGTGTTCTAAAAATCATACTACGATCAATGCGATCGAGCTGCAATGCCGATCGCGATTTTGGAGAGCGCTAATGACTCGACAATGAACGAGGCCAGGGTCACTGGCAGGGCTGCAAGGGACTCATGAGACTCCGAGCGTACTGGTGGGTATTGCTGATCCCAGCTACTCACTGCCGAGATGACCGAAAGAGACCTCTATCGAATTGATAGAGCATTTCCCTTGATTCCACATCTCCGATTTCTTGGTAATCTGGTTTCCAGTTGTTATCCAAGCCTAGGTATCGTCCCGAAGATCGACATTCTAAACGCAACTCGTCGGCTCCGAGTGACAAGTCTCATCTTAGCCTTCTGCTTACTCCCGGACCTCGTCCTCCGCATCTACGAACTCATCGTCAGGTGACACCTCACCGCCACTCGGATCAATAAACACATAGCTGGCCGTAGATATTTTCAATGGCCCCACTCATCTTCAGATGCAACTATCGTCGATTCATCGTCGGCGTCTTGTCCCGTCAGACCCTGAAACGGCAACTCCTGCCCTCGTGCAGAGTTCATCAATCAGACCCATGCAAGCTTCTCTGATTCGAATGGCTTACGGGTAACGGCGCAGTGGTTGTCGCGGCATCTGACGAAACACTCGTTGGGAGTGTGCCCATCTTTGTCTCTGATCGCCGTATCCACGCCACAGAGATTGGCGGATGCTAGGATGTCCATCGCCTCCGTGCTCCCATGTAAAGCTGTCAGGTGGAGCAAGCTCCTCTTATTGTTGTTCAAGAGGCTCAGTCTTTCGGGCTGCACCAAACTTTCATTAGGCACCGAGATTGCGATTCCTGGCAAAGAGATAATTTGATAGAATCGTGGTTATCACCGGGTTCCTTCGAAATGACTTGAGTTACCCCTGATAGTACCGCATACGGACTACCTTACCTCAAATAGTAAAGCGGAAGACTCACCGGGAAGCCCTGAAGGTAAGGAGCCATCACCTTCAATACTGCAAGGCTGTTGTTTGCGATGGCTTGCCCGAGCGGCGTGTCGCCTGTATGATTCCTGGTAAGTAAGAAGTGACTGTATTCTCTCAGTAGAATCTCGACGAGGTCTTCCTGATCGGACACACAAGCATGATGCATGATATTCGCCGCTTCATCATCGCTGATGTGCACATCAGCCCCCTTGCGCAACAAGTACTTCAGTATCTCCGGACTACTCATGTGCATCATGGGTGTTCGCATGTGCTTATCAAGGGCGTTGACGTCTATCCCTACGTCGAGCAGTGCAACGATGCTATCAAAATCGTCCGCCCAGCATGCACAGTGCAGCGCCGTGAACCCACAAAGGTCTCTGGCTTGGACATCGGCGCTCCATGGGTCCTGAGTAATGAGCCGGATAGCGTCTGATTTGCCGTTCTCAGCTAGCCAGTGGAGCGGAGTCCGGCCGAGGATGTCCTTCGTGTTGATATCTGAGTACTCGGATTCTCGTAGAAGGGCTTCCGTTATTTCCAGACCATGTCGCGCTCCCAAAGCGGCGACTTTGTGAAGATTGGTCCAGCCTAGCCTATCGGCAAGATCCTCTGTATCAACTGGGAGGTTGTATTCTTGGCTTCCTCTGCGAGTAAGGACAGTGATGGCTGCGGACTTTTGGTTTTCATCTGCGAGATTCTCGTCCATGCCTTCATTCTTGAGGAAGTTGAAGACGGCTGGCTGATGAATCTTAGCAGCGACCTGGCATTCGAGATAGTAAATCAGCACGATTCCGCACTAAGGTATTCCACAAGGTACGTCGGAATGCAGTTTGAGTAGTCTTACGTGCATAATGGATTGGCCCCATTGATTCCTGACATACATCAGATTCCGGTCTTTCGATAGTAACTCCCGCAACTGCCCGAGATTTCCGGCCATCACGAGCGGCCAGACAATATGGTCCTCTTCCGGGACGATCAGCGGCACGTTGACTGAAACCTTTGCCCCAGCATCGAAGACGTTCTCCAGGTTAACGGAAGCCATTATCGCTCTCGAAACCAGCCAGGGTGGGAAGTAGCAGGTGATGTTGTGTTTACTCAGGCTCTTCCTACATGGTGCATAGTTACAAGGTCGCATTGATATTGACGAGTCGAAACTCCAGTGGAGCTGGCCGACGACGTTTCTCAGCCACGGACGGGGGTGTACGGACCGCTGCCCGGGTGTGACATCGGCATCGGCACCCTCGCGGACATCGATGCGAGTTTACACTCGCAGAGATGAGAACAGCTGGACTGTTGGCTGATACCCCGCTGTTGGCCACTTGTAAATCGGGCTCGCTCGTCGATATTTGTCCTGGACTCAGGTTCTGGGCCTGCTCAATCAGAGGCTGCATGGAACGAAGAAGGTTATGTTGCATAGCGTTCAAACTCTGAAAGCCGATCTGCATGTCTTTTTGGGTTTTATGCTGTTGCTCTTGCAGGGCACAAATGGCATTATGGCTTGCGACTGTTACACTCTGGATTTGAAGGACTGTTGTTGTGAGGAGCTCTCTGTTGCGGGGTAAGCATGCCAGCTTGGCTTTCGAAAATCGTTGGATCAATGGCTCACTTACTTGTTGTCTAGTTGAAGTAAATCGAGTTGAGTCCGTAAAATATCGCATGAATCTCGAATGTTCATCTTGATGCGTTGGATATCGGCTTCCGATTGCAGCATCCTTGCTCGCTTGACTTTGGTAACAACATTTCCATCCTCGGTTTGCCGACACGAAAGTCGGGTGCTGATGCATTCAAAAAGACCATTAGTTCTGGCTGAGATAGCGACGCGATTACTTGTGACCACCCACTGAACTAGCAATTCAAACTCTGTCACGCGCTCTTTGATGGCTTTGAGGACATGAACAATGGATGGTGGTATTGGATCTTCATGACTATCTCTGTGCCGGCTACGGAGACAGGCCTCTGTATCCAGAAGTAAACCTATGGCTAGATTAGCGCCTCTGAACTGTTACGTACCAAGCTGCAGGGTAAGCTCAACTCACCTCGTAATATCTCGGCATCGGTAATGAGCTGCTTGAATATTTCTGGTGCTTCCCATAATGACTTGAGCGCGCCTAAAGCTAGCCCTGAGCCTTTGCCAGTCAGTTGAAGTATCGTGAGAACGCTGGTTGTGATCGACAAGGGATCCATTTTGGCGCGATGTTGTCCGCATCGTTCTGTTGAAGATTACGAGGAGAATCCTTTTACACACCTGAAGTGGAAAAGGTCTGCACTTCTATGAAGAACATACCGCCAGGACAACAATCGGGCCTTGGAACCACTTCAGGCTTCTCTAAGAGATCGAAAATTTACAGCCCTCTTTACTTGTATTACACCAGAGGCAGGCTATGGTGTGGAGGGTGGTCAGCCCATTTCATGTGGCAGCGTCGGCAGTCGTTATCAACGCTGGAGCCGGAGCAGCGGGCCAAACACAATGGCCGTTACAGAACGTGGTACAGGTCGTTCCATGCTGTTCAGCTACACAGAGTACTAACAGAGCGACCGGGAGTGGGATCCTTCGACTTGACCTCTCCAGTGTGGTTGGTAGTTAAGCAAGGTCCCTACCAAGAACAGTGTGATCAAGACGTGTTATCCTGCGCGAGTGATATGCCAGAAGACCCTCGGAGTGGCTGGTTCAAGTCAGGGCGGAAAGTCGTTGGCGACAATTTCTTCGCACTATGACCCGTTCCAAGTGATCATCCGTCGACCTTCGGTGTGTCGGATTTGCGAATATGGTTGGCATCACGCCTCAGGACTTGATGTTACGAAAAAGGATACATTGTGGACTGAGGTGGTGACTGGCTCATGAGGCCGTTTTCTCAATGCCCTGTTGACTGCGAACATTTCAAGTTATTAAAAGCGGATTTAAGAAAAGAACAAAGAGCCCTAGCATGATCGCCTTGCTTCGCGACTCTTGCGATTATGGACAGCACCACGGGAGGTGTATTGTCACTCACGATTGATCATTGGAGCATATGGATATTTCCACTTCCAGCCTCTGAAGATGTTGCTTGGCAATACTTCCCCCTGACGCCGCCCATCAGATTTTGATCCGCCTCCGGTCGAAACCAGACTGAGCGAGCTGGTGGAGTCCTAACACATCGCCCGGAGCTTTTGGTCAGATTGGTTGTAGTTACACAATGGTCGTCTAGGTCTCATTGGTTGGTGTTCCGTGAGAGATGGGATACCGGTAGCCGCCAGCCTCCAGAAATTCACCAATTCGAGGGCGGGAAGTTGCGCATGTTGGGTCACATGATACTAGAATCAGGCAACCACCTCACTATGATGACACTCGCTTGCCCCGCATTCTTTTTGTTCCTTTTGCACGTTTATCCTGAGCTCAACGGCGAGGCGTTCGGTCGAAGCTTGACGTCATCCAACCAATTCAGAAATGAAGCAACTTCACACCGTGATAACAGATTTATCTGTCACATCCTGTGCCTCACCTGGCGTCCCAGTCGCCTGCCCTCTGGAAAAGAGGACATGGAATCGACTCGAGAAAGATCTCTACCTTCACGCAGGCGAGCAGGCAGCATGGATATACCTTGAAGAAAGGGATACGGCCGATGTTGTCAATGGCAATCGCGTCATCACGGATATCTGGGTCGGCGCCACGAAGCCCCCCGGTGATGGCGAGGACGGCTGGGAGCAACGATCCTGCGGCATTTGGATCCTGAGAAGTCACTACACTGACCACTATTTGAGATTATTGACAGGTATTGACGTTCTCTTCGGAACGGATGCTGTCGACCCACGACCAGGCTGGACACTATTACCCGCACCCCTCCAACTTGAGGATCAACCGGACGTGCCCGCACCGAGGCTTTCAGCGCGATTTGGTCCACCAATACCCAGACCTGACGACCCGAATGCGCCTTTACGTGTCAACAAAGACGGAAAATTCAAGATCGTCCAGATTTCCGACACGCACATGGTCACGGGTGCTGGAGTTTGCAACGATGCCATCGACGCAAATGGTCAACCTTTACCTAGTATTGAAGCTGATCCGAACACGATTAAGTTCATTGGGGAAATTTTGGACGTCGAGAAACCCGACTTGGTGATTCTCAGCGGGGACCAAGTACATCATGATATACCAGACACACAATCCCCTTTGTTCAAGGTTGTGTCACCTTTGATTAGTCGATCGATTCCTTTCGCGATGGTTTTTGGAAATCATGACGATGAGGGCACCTACGCGCTGTCGCGTATGTCTCGAAGCACCTTTTCTGTTCAATTTTCTGTGCTGACACTTGTTGACGTAGGCGGAAAGCAAATGGCAATACTGCAAGATCTCCCATTTTGTCTAGCACAGGCTGGGCCCGATTCAGTAGATGGTGTGGGCAACTACTATCTCCAACTCTTTTCCAGCGACGAAAAGCAGGTCCCATTAGCAACAATCTTCTTTTTCGACTCTCATGGGCAAATCACGAGTGATGACAAGAATCCCGACTACGAACCAATCCAGCAGAGTCAAATCGACTGGTTCACCTCCACTTCACGGCATCTAAAAAAGACCCGCATTGCAAAGAGAGACGCTAGCTCTCCCTTTCTTTCTTTGGCTTTCATGCACATACCCTTCCCCGAATACGCAGGAGACGATTTGTCGATAAGCGGTGGCAAGCGGAGAGAACCAACCGAAGGCCCCAGCATCAACACGCATCTTTACGATGCTCTGGTGCAAGAAGAGGTGTCTGCGGTGGGCTGTGGGCACGATCATGTCAACGACTTCTGCGCTTTATTGCCGAAGTTGCAGCGAGGTCATTTGGTAGAACGTAACGATCAATCGGTCAAGCATGGCCCGTGGCTCTGTTACAATGGAGGTAGCGGGTTCGGGGGTTACTGTTCCTATGATGAAAATCGTTACTACAGAAGGACACGAGTCTGGGAGATCGACGCGAACAAGGGCGATTTGAAGACATGGAAGCGCATCGAGTACTCCGGTAACCGATTCGAGGAAGTAGTACTTGTAGAAGGTGGCCGAACCACAGCTCCCTCAACAATGTTAGAAACCGAAAAGACATGCAGAATCCTGTAGAGAACGAGATCCCATGCTCCGCAGAAACGTCTTAGGAGAAATAATACACAATACGGTGTTGGTCATGTGATTTGAGAAGGGCAGTGATTTTATTGGATTGAGAGATGGAAAAACCACAGGCTCTGAGTACGATATGCGTAGCCAAAGTCCGAGGCCAAACACCACACAATCCTGCAAACGATAGAAGACCAGATACAAGTACAAGCACAAAATTGTCCAAGCCAATCAAGCTGAGTGAAACAATACAGCCTCGTGTGACTGTGGATGTTCCAAACTCGCGAAGTCGAATCGAAAAGCCATCGATGGCAAGAATCCCACGCTCCTCCGCCATTGGCATCATCAACCGGAACCTCTGCCACAGTCGGTAAAGCGTGACCAACTCATCCATCATCAGTACGTGGGAATGACCTGTCGTTAGTCGTAGCGAATTAGCACATTGTTATCCACGCATCAAATCAAAGATCCTCGTCGTCCATCATGCAGAGGCCGTCGTCGTTCGAGTCCCAGGACTTGCGCTTGTGGAGCGAAGGCACCCATGTACTCTCACGGGACTTGAGGAGCTCCTCCAGGGTGGCGTTCACGTGGTCGGAATCATCAGGGCTGTTGCTCACCTTCGCTCCCTTGTAGGACTGACCCGACGCGGTAAGCAAGTCTGCGACGGACCTCTTGGTCCTAATGACACTGGTAGTGCTGGTGATGTTGTTGCGGGGAGCCGAGTCGGCGCTCTCCTGTCCGACGGCGCTCTTGATCTTCTGGGAAGCAGCGTCGACGATGACGGGGACGACCTTGCGCATGGCAGTCTTGGCGATGTCCAGCACGGAGGGGGCAATCTTCTGGACGCCAGCCTTAATGACGTCGAAGAAACCCTCCTCGCCGTTTTGGGGCTCGCTGACGCGAAGGCGGTCGAGCTTCTCCTTAGGCAGAGCCATGAGGGTCTGCAGAGCGGCTTCTGCGGCAGCAGCACGCTTGAACGCGAGGAGTGTGGCATACTCGTGAGAGCCGACGGCGGGGGTGTCGAAGGAGGACTCTGCGCCACCACCGAGACGGCCGATGACGCCGGAGAGTGCTCCCTGAGCGGCACTCGCAATGAAGGGCTTGGCGAAGCTGATGCCCTTGCTCAAGACGGAGCCGAGGGAGTCAAAGAAGCCCTCTTCACCCGAGACCGGACGAGTGGGTGCCAGCAGGCCCTGAACGAAGGCTCCTTGCGAACCCTGCTGGTTGTACTGGAGCCCCCTGAGCTGCTCGCGAGGAAGCTCGATATCAGATTCCTGGAATCCAGAGGCTCCTCGTTCCTGGATCTTGGCCATCTGGCGATGAGCCAGGTGAAGCCCGGCCTCAGTGAGCTGGGGCTGAGCAACCTTGGCGATGGCATCCAACTTGGGTCTGAAGGCGTTGTACTTCGAGTTGATGGTGTGGAGGATCTCAGCTGTCTCGGGGGTATCCTCGAGCTTCAGTAGGGCCTGAAGCGACGCCTCGGCGAGCACCGCGCGCTCAGTGGCGCCCGAGTTGATCGCGGTCTCGACCGCGGCAGTCGCCTTGCCGTCCTCGAGGGCGCTTTCGGCACCTCCGACAGTCGAAAGGATGCCGCCAGCGATGGCACCGATGGGCCCACCAATGGGGCCAAGGAAAGGAGTGACAGTCGAGACGACAGGTCCGGCGACCTTGGCGATCGACCTGATGATATCGAAGAAGCCCTCCTCATCCGAGCTCTCCTGGAGACCCGTGCCCGAGTTGTAGTGGGTCGGCTGCGGGGGAGAAGACACGTTCTCCTGGCGAAAGCCGTTGTAGCCGTTGCTGTGTCCGTTGGAGGCACCATTAGAATATCCGTTGCCGTTACCGTTGTACGTGTTGCCGTTGCCGTAACCGTTGGAATAGGGGGCGCTGCCGTTCTTGACCTGCCCGTTGCTGGGCGCGCCGTTGGAGGCGCTGATGTTGCTGCTGGGACGAGCATTGCCGTTGGCAGTGAGAACCTTGATACCCTGGCGCTGTGCTTGTGGGAACTGGGGGCTGTTGAAGAGATCGAGGAAAGCATGGTAGTTGTTACCATAGGGGCCGCCAATGGAGTTGCCAGAGTTGCTCTCGTCGCCACCACCACCGTAGCAGTGAGTGCCAATGGACACCAGCGCGTTGTTCTCAACCTGGAAGATTGGGGCACCAGACTGGCCTGTTTTCATGTATCTGTCAGCATGTTACCATAGGAGCAGAAGAGACACTTTGTCAACTTACCGGCGAAAGTCGAGACCTGGTACTCAATCATGCGGCGCTCGCTCTTCTTGAGGTCATACTCAGTAGGCGCGAACTCCTCGTACATCTGGGCACCCTTCTCTCCGCTCTGTCCGTTCTGGCCCTCGAGGTATTTGTCACCAGGGTATCCAACAACACCAATGTTGGCGTTCTTGGCGAACAAAGGAGTCTCCTTGAACGGGATGTTTCGGAGGTTTCCGGTGAAGGGACGGTTGACCTTGATGAAGGCAACATCGTGTCTGCGGTTGCCGGCAGCCTCGATCCACTCAGCGGTGGTGATGATACGCTCGCCGAAACGGGCTTGGACGTTGGGGGTGCCAATGGACGCGCGGCCAGAGTATCCAATGTAGCACTTGATTTCCGTAGCGCTCTGGAGGCGGTGACCCCAGTCGTAGACGACATGACCGGCGGTGACGACGGTATCCGGGCTGATAAGCCAGCCGGAGCCCATCATCCAGACGCTGCCGTTGCCCTTGTTGAAGCAAGCCTGGATCTTAACGACAGCTGGAGTTCCTTGTGTCAGCTTTGCCTGATGCCAGGGGACTATAGATGGGGGTTTTGTAGGATATTGAAGGGCTTACATCGGAACTTGCCACCATCAGCAAAGCTCTGAGGCTCGACGCGACGACGCTTGTCATCGTCGAAGACGGACTCAGTGCCGTTGCTGCCATCATCGGGCAAGATGGCAGACTCGGCAGGGAGATCAGGGTTGGAGGACTTCAAGCTCCAGACCGCAGCGCGAGGAGCGCCGCTGGTGGCGATGGAAGTGTTGGAAGGGGCGTTGTAAGACATTGTTTGGTAGGGAATGGCTTCGTAGTGAATGACTTTTCTCCTGGGTTTTGCTGGGCAGATGTTACTGAGAGCGAAAAGAAGACCCAAAAGTCGATTGACCAATGAGAATGAATATGAGAACAAAAGTTGGAAAGTATGCTTGTTTGCGAGAATCTTGGCGAACTGATAGTGATTGGAAGCTGGTGATAACAGGAAAGAGTTGTCAGGATGGGGTGGTTTCGATGGAGGCTTTTATAGTTTGAGATGAAGCCAGCAGTTTGGATTTCGCAAGACTCGGTTGATCATCTTGCCACTCAGCTATCAGCCGCAGCTTAGCACCCGTGTCGTGACTAGAGTAGCTGTGTGATCCAAAATGGTGGTGGAAGGTTCAGCCAGCCTCTTCGCGATACAAATCACAACTTCCACTTCTCCAGGGGTAAAGTCGAGGCACACATGAGCTTTTCCTCCCTTGCCTCGCCTCACTGGCGTCCATACCAGCTTCAGTTGAGGCGATATTCAAAAAACATCCAATGGCTTGAGTGGTTCGTACTCCTCCTCGGGTGTAGAATCCTTGAATGGTTTAGGAAGCTGTCGCGATCTTCGCCACTTAGAACCCACGACGATCATTTTGGCGCTATCTCGCGCACCTTGTGAACACAAACTTGGAATTTGAAGGAACGACCTGACTTACTGCTGTCTGAATACCTCAGCACGATACGGGCATGTATACAACGTATAATCATCATGTACGCATATGCCATACCATCGGCATCCGCGCTGAAAATTTCCCCCTCTGCGAGGAAAGCCCAAGAGGCTGGCTGACCTCAATGTCAGTTCGGAATATGTGATCCGAGGCGTCATCCCAAGCGCTGGATAGAAGCGGGTATGCAAGGCACATTGCTCGTCGCCTTATTTGGGATATTTTCGCTGGAACAGGCAAGTCCAGAACTTTTGAGGCGGTTGCATATCACGGCTTTTCCCCAAACTGAGTCCATAGATCACACTCAGACGTAGTTCCGAATTCTTCCACATTGCTTTTCCGCTGCCACAGCCAACTCTCATTCGTCAAGGGTCTGAAAAGCGTTCTTGAGGGAACCCGTGTGGCTGCCTGTAGTGAAATAGTGACCAACGTGATAGAGAGGGTTTCGTGCCCATCGCTTGACGGCATTTCACTAACATTGCAGGGGTAGAGCTGCGGTCACGACCATATGTGGATGAGGCGTAGCTCAAATAGGTAGCTTCTCGGCCCGCCCACGGCCCCGCGGTTCTGGCCCTTCCCGTCCCCACTCACATACCTTGCAGCTCAGCTGAATTCAGCCAGCCGCCGACGACTGAGCTGAACTAATTGGAACTTACTAAACCCTTTCGCAGTAGCCGGCTGCACTTTCTGAGAGCACAATAGAACCCTGATTTGCGGGGACCAATCAGTCAATAAGTGTGATGCCGCGCGGCGTGTGATTCGAGAAGCGCTGGTATGAAGGGGCAAGGCACAGCTAAACCACAACACTGAAAGACACGGTGACGATTATATCATCGCGTGGTGAAGGTCGAAGACTGTGGGCCTGGGTCACTGCAGAAAGAGGTATTCAAGTGAGAAACTAGGAGAAAAAGTGTTGAGAGCAATTCAGAGACGATGCATATATGGTCTGGTTCATTATCCATGGGTCAAGCATACAGCTCAGCCAGGCTTATATCTCAATGAGTTGCACTCAGTAACACGAGTATGTGAATTGCCTTATGTGACATGAATCACAATAGTGGAGATGACATTTGGCGACTTGATTCTCGATCTTCAGTGCGAAGAGGGTGGCAGACGTAGTGAGAATTATTGACAAGTGGAATAAAGTGTGGAGGAAGAGGACTATCAAAGCTCGGCGGCAACCGTACCAGGCACTGATGTGGAAAGTACGTCAACAGACGAAGAGACGCGAAGACTGAGGGAGAAAGACCGGGTCTGGTCAACTGTCGCATTATGTCGCCGCCGCAAAAAATGCAAGACGATGTGTGGTGAGGTTACGGTAGTACGTCCAAGTATCCTGTATTGCAGTAGCACTCATTATAGAATGTCGATAGTCATGACTTTGAGTGTAATCTGGCCTATTCCACTATGGTATTGGACTCAAAGAAATAAGGACCACTGTAGATACATCCACGTTGCAATATTGAATTCACGACGAGTGTCCTGAAAATAAGTCAATCAATTGCACACATAGCATTCATATGGGGCCTGTGTCTATCATTAGGATCGAGCTCAGTTCATCCACCCCTAAGAAGCTTCATCACATAGAATTTTCGAGATCGAATATGCCGGAAGGTCTACTCATATCAGATCAATCGTGACTTGTCAGGCTATTGTTTGCGTATAGTGAGTATTGATCTGACCAAGACCACTCACGAGTTCACTATTGGGAGGTGGGAATCTGCAGTGATTATGCCTTCCAACGAAGAGTAAAGAGGCTCTTCTGAAGTTTCAGAGGGTCTTTGGGTCGAGTGATACCTAGTGCTGTGGAAGCACCCGAAGTGCGATTCAAGGTATTACCACTGGCCTACAGGATCACGATGAGAGCTCAAACGGTGGTCATAACCTCGATGAAGTCCAAATACTCGGGTCCGCTAGACATCGTTGGCTTGTTTCTAACCCGTATCTTAGGTTAAGTAGTCTTGCCGAGCCCGGCGCTTCATCGAAAAGTTGGACAGATAATCACGTTAAGAAGCGAAACCGAAGCGGACAAAGGAACCAAACTTTCCGTTTTCAGATTGTTGGTAGGTCACTGCTCGATCGCGCTTAGATGTGGCTGTCGATGTGGACGTGCCCCGACCCCTTGTGGCGGCGCTCTAACTGTTTGCAGGCGTTTAGCTAGGCAAAAGCCATCTGGAGAGCTGAAGTACAATTTCCATCTAAACATAATAAAGCGCAGATTCCGTCAGTGGGGAATTTCGGGGGGTTTGGCCTAAATTCTTCTCCTTTGATCGGCCTTGATACGTCTGGTTTTTCGAATTGGAAGTATCGCGAATTCCTTCATCATGGACGTGAATGGGCCATCCGCAGGTGCGGTTATTGTACGTCACGATGCCTCCAGAAACTTCACAACTCATTTTGTGTTATCTTTCCCCGCAGAATACTAGCTTCTACGTAGTCTTTCAGATCAAACTCTTAGTCAGGCTAACATAGTTAGGGAACCGAATTCACATTGATAGGTATCGCAGCTATTCTGATCGGCGCCCGAATATACCTGCGATTAGTCATTCAGAACCTTCCCCTTATCACGAGCGACATTCTTGTTTGTATTGCCTGGCTCTTTACTGTAGCATCCGCTTCATACGATGTTGTGTTCCATAAGTTGGGGGTATTACGTTCCCACGTTGCCTATACCCTAGAGGGGTATGATGGGACACCCGAGGACCTAGAACTTGTGTGGAAGGTAAGCATCCTTGACTTCCGAGAAGTAAGAGTCTCGATTCTGGAGAGATGCAAGGGCGTCTTGTTATTGTAAGTTAGTTTAATAACCACTCTATGCAGTTGCAATGGAGTGGCCAATTTCCATTCTTCACAGCCTTCTATGTCTGCAAGGCAACACTCCTGAGTCTATATGCTCGATTTTTCCCGATCTTCATGGAAACCAGGCGCAAGATTCTCTGGGGAACCATGGTGTATTGTGGCTGTGCGTATGGTACCAACATGCTCATCCTACTTCTCATTTGTAGGCCTCTGCGAGGAAATTGGTAAGGCTAATCCGTTTGATCATGGAATCCTTGCCTCCAACTAAATTCTCTTCAAGGTCCCAAGATCCGGCAGTCGCATGTTCCCCAATAGTGTTCGCTCAAGTATTCCAAATCGCTTGGGCATTGAACTTTGCCGCAGATCTGATGAGTAAGTTTCCCATCACTGTGTCTATGACATAAGGTAAAAGAGCATCCGGACTTCTCACACATCTCAAAGTTTTCTGTCTGCCATTCTTAGTATTGTACCGACTGCAACTTCATAAAAGTGTCAAGATCAGTGTTTACTGCACATTCTTTCTGGGAGCCATCAACTTAGCAGTCAGCCTGGCACGGTTTCTAGGTATTCAGGTGTCTGTAACATCTTTTCGCTCCTTCACACTCATTGGTGAGTCGAAACTCTTTCTAACCTGATGTCCAGTACAGCATCTTACCTCTTTGCACGGACCATGGTGCTAACACCGACCTGACAGAGTTATGGAGTGCTATTGACTTGCAAGTCGGTTTGATCATTGCTTGTTTACCGCCCCTGCGGCCGTACTTGTCTTATGATTGGAAAATTTGGCCCTTCCGATCAGCAACTCAAATCCCTAAAAGTTCTTGCAATCGCACTGATCTTTCCGAGCTTTCTCGACACAACGATCAGCTAACATCACAAATGCGAGATATCGACGATGCAGGCTTGATAAATGATATCAATGACAATTTAGGACAAATCGGTACCAGACCGGATCACGATGTCGAGTCGCCAGCTTTAGGAAGTCCAAGATCGCCAGCGTCAATGCTCCGGAGCAATCATCGACCAATACAGAACATGGGTCAATGAAGGGACTAAGGGTGATCATATACCAGACAGAAACGAAAAATTTCAGAAGAAATGGATTATTGGAGAAGTCTCGATTTTCTGGGTTGTTTCTCGTAGAAGATCTTGCCCTGACGAGCTACGTCTGCTATAGGAAGCAAACTTCAAGACGAGTTCCAATAAGTTGTGTCAACCCAAGAAGCCCAGCCCGGAAGAATCGTGTCAATGGAAACCGCGCTTGACAGCTTCTTGGCCCAGCTCACCCGCGTGCCGCTGGCACCAGTTCCAGTGTTGCCATATTCCGCATAGTAAACGTTGGCAGTGGGGTTAGTGCCCCAAGCAGACCATCCAACAGGCTTGACGACATCGCTGAGTTGTGAGTTTTGGACGACAACGCGCGCGTATTCCCTCCACGGCCTGCCCAGCACCGTAGACTCTTTGGCCACACCAGCACCTGACTTTGCTGCGATTGTGGCCTTGTTGATCACGTACCAGTAGCTGTCGGCGCTGTCGCGACCACTCGCAGTGATGTATCCGGCACCGTTGATAGCGATCGTGCACTTCTCGAACCAAGCGTTGCCATCGTTGCCGAAGATGAAGTCAGTCGCACCCTCAATATAGCTGTTCTTGTAGACTTGGTGTGGCTTGTTGGTATAGATCGTGTCCTGATAGCCGACGAAGCTGCAGCCGTAGTACGCTTGGTACTGGCCATTTGCGGAGATGGCTAGAGCTTGAGAGCCCTTTCCATAGCCATTGATCAGGTTGACGTTGTACAGACTGAAGTAGCTAGTCGCAACTCTCAGTGTTGCGGATAAGTCGTTACTTCCAGCATCCGCAGCTGATAGAGTATTGGTCAAGATGACTTGGTTCTTGGTGTAGTCTTGGTCGTTGGTAGTGTATGCGTAGATGACTAGCTTTCCACTCAGGCTGGGAATGGAAACTTGTCCAGAGTAAGTGCCCGGCTGGATGAAGATTGTGGTAGTCGCGGTGGAGCTGGCTGAAATGGAGTTTATAGCTGCTTGAAGCTTTGGTATACATCAGCGAAGTGACATCACATCAGATCCCCATGTAAGACCCTAGGAACCGTAGCGCCGTGGTTTTGCACGGAATTTACTCACCGTGGTGTATTGGCCACCCGATTTCGCAACAACGATTGCGCCGGATGGCGGCGATGTTCGCGAAGCCGCAAAGGTATTGCCTACTATAACCGCCAAGGTGGAGAGGACGTTCAAAATCTTCATGTTGATGCAAGCCTGTCAGCGATAATCTATGATTCTCTGCGGTTTTCACGTTCAGGAACATATAGATGTGGCAAAGGTTTTGGAGCTTCCATGTTTTATAAACCTTACTATTAACCTAGCTGGAAGTATCGTCACTGCGCGTGATCATTAAACAAGTTCTCAAGATGAAATCCTTGGCTGCATGAAAGTCAGTCACTCATAGCCGCCAATCGTTCCCAAACTGACCACGCGGTCGAAGCTCCTTTAAACTAATGGTCTCATACTATCTTTCGCGGGGCTCGGGGACACGGAAATAGGTGGACTAAAATTCTCCGCCGGCATGCAACCATCCTTCTCATCGTTCCCCGCCGCATGCAATTTCTCCGAAGCTAGTCCCGGCCGCGCTGTAGTATTCCCGCCCACAATGTACGCTCTGGGCTCATTAAACCTAAATTGAACGTTTCTCAGAAAGGTCTCTGTGGCATAGAGTCAACTGGAAACCTTTATGTAGGAATGACCCTGGACGACAAACTGAACTAAGCCGATGGCAATGTGCTACATCTTGCGTTCCACTTTGAGCCTTCTCAGGCTCCCTACCTCGAGTCATTATGCTCTCCTCTCGATGCTTGTGACGGTGTAAATGAGCAAGGGCAGCATACATAACTCACGATTGGCATATTCAGCATAGTGGCCCTTGTCAGTATGTACAACTCATTGAAAAGATTCAGTAGCACACGCAAAGGAAAGCCTCATCAATTTCATCTTGTGTTTTCAGATAAATCAGTCAGTGCAGTGCAAATCACTCCACTACTTGCCTGGTTTTCTGTGATGTCACTCTCGAACATTAGAAATTGCCGTTTTAACAATCAGGAAGATGCACTAGCCTAAGATCAGGGAAATTTTGTTTCAGGCGCGCTAGATTTACCACCATGCATACACGTGTCACTGAGTACAAACAACACTTCCTTGATTCCAAACATTTACTAACCGTTGTTTTTGAGACAGAGGCCAAGCATTCCAAGTCAACAAACAGGATGGAAGCAAAATCGACCTGTAAGGCAGGCTCGGGAAAAGCAAAGCTCGTGCTTAGAAGGAGCTAAACTCGCAGCACTCCGGTCTTGCCCATATCAAGACGTCTTTTTTCAGCTAACCTCAGGAATGGAAGAAAGCAGCATCAAACAGACTTTTCTCTCAATGCCTGGGTGCGTATCTTGTCCTCCAGGAAGCTTGCCATATGAATTGTGTAACACTGGATATTTCCCAGAACCATCGTTCAATTGTTTGAGTTTCAAAATCTCAGTGTAATTGGTTCATCACCATCCATCAGTTCTTGCCACTTAACACATCGGTGCTCAGTCCCAAAGCCGGTACCTCCGCCAGAATTGGGCTCTAAATTTTCGGTCATCAAATCTTGTACGTGGAGAAGGGTCAGTCCTGGACTCCTATAATATTCAAAGGATTTAAAAGTATCTAATAAAGGGTTTAGGGTATACTCACGGGGCGGCACAAGATAGCTTGACGTAATAGGTCAGAACAGTGGCCAACATTGAATATGTCATAGGATAAGTCGGCATCCATGGTGGAATGTGCGCCATCGTGATTCAGATGGGACGTGAAATGAGAAGTATTAGCTGATAGCCTTTGGTGTCTGGGTAAAGCTCGTACAGTGCTAGGCGCAACACATCGAGGCAGTGGAGATGATAGAACACAGCAAAACCAACTAGCACTAGATATGATAGCAGGGTGTTCGAAGAACCCGCCTTCTTTCGGAAGCAGAGAAGACCACGCATTATTGACACTAGCAGAAGGTGGCATGGCGTAGTCTTTGTCTAAGTCGGATATTCTCGGCTCGTTCTTCACTGCTTTTACCTCAGTGATGTGATCTTGCAGGGGCTCGTTGCTCTCAATGTGTGGAAAGGACATATTAATCATATACCCACAGTGAAGCTCTGATCTCACGGGTTCTTCCCAGTAGAGTGTTTGTTGATGCAAAGGTAGAGAAGCATATCTGGTAAGGATGGCTAAGGCAATTATGAAGATGATATAGAGAAAACGGACTTTCCCATGCTTCCAAATCCTCTCTGGTCTCGATAGTGTCTTCGGTCGACTCTTTGCCCAATGCTCATGTACTTACTGACGAGATGGGATCTGGAAACGAGTTATGCCGCTTTTCACCATCTGGACCAACGTTGTCATCTTGCAACACAAGCACCCAAGACGCCGAGTATCAGCAGCAGAAGACTGCAGTACTTGACTCTGAGAGGAGTGGCCTCCGCACGTATTGTGTCTTGTGAAAAATTTGATCAAAATTTGAGGGGTAGAGTGGCCGACTAGTGTCCAAGATACATGTCGCCCTTTTAGACGATGCCGCGTCCCCATTCTAGCTATTTCGACAACATGATTTGGCGGCGGCCGAAGCAAGCACTTTCTGGTAGGAATGATGTGATCCGCGCATTATACGTGCATCCCAGCTATGTTTTCAGCCTCACCTTGACAGATTGACCGTCTCAGCGCGCGTCATATGCGGCCAGGCAGTGATGCATTGCCATTAGTGGTAAGGCAGGTGTGAATAGCGTCATGGTCTGAATTGCATACATCGAACTCATTTGCTGTGCCGCAAGTCGCGCTCCGTGTGAGGCGATCATGCTTGTGGGGCCTGAACGCTTTCTGGATGTAGTCTAAGGCTGTCGCGGAAAGTCGGGAGTTGCGATTTCCTCAAAAGGAAGGTCCTCGAGGTCTTTTGGGCTGTCGAGCGCAGGCATTCCATTGTGTTTTGTCAGCCAACAATGTCACAGGGATTCAAGTCCTTTTCCTAGGTTCTGAATCTGTTGGACCCTCGGCTGGACCCCATCTTACAGATATAAAGCAGCGCTGAGTCTCCCAACCGGCCGCTGGTCCATCGTCGCTGTATTGGTGACCAACTAAAATCAATACTGTAGGCTGTTTAAGTCTGATCGATTATCTCAGCACAGCACCGAATTGCATTCCTAGCTGTCGCATCGAAATCTACGAATTCGATTCCAGCATGGCGCTACAGGACTCATCACGACATGGTTCCGTCCTCGAGATCGGAACTCCGCGGATGGTCATCCGCACAGCTGTTCAGTCAGATGCGGAAAATTTACTCAATTTTCTCCAGACGCCCGACAACTTTCCTTTCCAAGAGTCGGAACAGAACCTGACTATAGAGAGAATTCGCACCCGCATCGACAAGTTTGTCGATTTCACGAAAGATGGAAAGAACGGCTGGGTTGTCATCATCCTCCGTGAGACCAACGAGTTGATCGGCAATGGTGGTTACAACACCTTCGAGACCGTGGACCCCACTAGATTTCTCGCCGGCAAGACCACACTTTCGTCGGGAGATAGGCGCATGACGGACCTCGGCATCAACATCGATCACCGACATTGGCGTCAAGGCTATGGTCTCGAGATCCTCGAGGCGTTGATTGAACATGCTCGAACCGAACTGGGCTGTGAGGTGTTCAGGATTGAAACGGGTGATGACAACCAGCCATGGAGGTCACTTATGCGTGCTGCCGGCCTCGGTCAGTTCCAGTCACGCCACAAAGCTAGCTACGATGCCAATCAGGAGGTTTGGGCGTGGAAGTTTGACGCAGGTCACTGGGAAAAGTCGAAGATGAAGCTCAAGGGAGATGGAAAGTGGCTGGTTTGAGCGCACAGATTGGGGAGGGTATAGACGTAGGCGAGCATCGGTCTCAAAGGCTAGGGGAAGCAAGCTTTTGGCTCGCGAACGCTTTTAAACCATTTTTATCCTAGTACAAGATCACTTGATCTGCTTCGATGACTGAGAGAAATGAGACATTGGGCCGTTCATGGGGATGTAGGTGTGATACGACAATGAGATTCATCTCGAGAACTCAGATAATAAGACTGCAACTTATAGCACACTGGGCATGTTCTTAGGATTCTTGATATATCACTATGACTGTAATCCTCTCAACTCAGGAGCAGACAGAAGCTCTTGGACCAGCATTGGCCTTGATATAGGCAGGAACATCCGCAGTAGCAGTCAAGGTGTACGAATAGAGACTCTTGGGGTCAAAGGAGGTTCCTGAGTTTGCAGCCGTAGTGCCAGTGCAGCTTTTATACGTATTACCAGAGGCATTGAGTACGGCACCCGAGTCTTTGGTCAAGGGGTTCTTGGTGTTCTCGAAGAAGACATTCTCGATACGTGCGTTGGTGCTGCCGCGAGCGTAGTGCCCGTATGAAGTGACGCCGTAGAGATAGTTGTTGTAGAGATGCACTTGTGCCAAGTTGTCGGCGCTCGGGTTTCTTTGATTTGTGTTGTCAAACCAGTTGTGGTTGATGGTTCCACGAGCCGTGACATTCTCGGTCCAGCCAATGCCGAAAGTCTTGTCGTGGTTACGGAAGATGTTGTTGGAGACGGTGAAGTAGGTGGTGTCCTTCCGAAGATCAACTAAGCCGTCACCGCCATCTTCAAAAAGGCAGTGATCGATCCAGATATTGCTCACGGTGTCGGCTTGAACACCGTCACGGTCGTTTTCCACGCCATCGTTAAGGTTGGTGTGACCTATCTTGAGGTTGCGAATGATGATGTTCCTGACCCCGTTCAAGCCCAAACCACCTTTTGGAGCCGCCTTAGTATATAACGTGTTAAATGGAAGGACATGTTAAGAATTCACCTTGATTAAGCTCGCCAGTGGTGCCCAATCCGATGACGGTCTTATCACTGGCAATCTTGATTTCCTTGCCGAGAGGGCTGATGGTGATACGACCGCTGATCTTAATCACGTATTTGCCTGATGCGCTGGCATACTTCTCGAGATCAGCTTGAGTAGTTACTGTCACCTCCGTTCCGCCTGCGCCGCCAGTTGTGCCCCCGTTCAGAGAAGCAAATCCAGTAGCAGAAGCGAGACAGCCACTGGATTGTCTCTCAGTGACAGCACCCCGGGCAGCGACAAAGCATTGGATAAGCACCACTATGGATGAGAGTTTCATGGTTTTGTTTCAGCTCCACGAAAAGAGGAAGAAATACTGCTGTGTCAAGAAGTAGCTTTGATGTGCCAGGAATCGATTGAGACATGCACTGGTCTGAATTTAGATTCAAATCGATGCATGTATCCAGCTTATATTTACAAGCTATATGTCTACCGTTCCAAGGCACGGAAAGCGGTTTCTTGAACACGTGAGCATCAACTCCAGGTATCTTCCGGAAGATCATTCAGCTCATCTGTCATTGAAAACGCCTACAGCATATCAGATCAGAATCTACGGAGTCTTTTACTTTAGCCCGAAACTCGGTCTTGGACGTAAGAACATTTCCACATTAGAGGCACAAGTCACAGACATAGCGGGGTACGAGGAAATGCGACGTCGTGGTTCATGGAAATAACGTTCTTCGATAAAGCCATATGGTGATCATCCCAATCCATGGATGGTCGTTTGGAGATTTGCCAAGGGTTATCAATTTGAGGGGTGTTTAGTGTCACATTGTGCCAAGTAATCCAATATCAGTGATTAAACCCACCAGTAACACGAAGCTACTTCCCCGCATCGCTAAGTAGTATCATCGCATATGCGAAGTCCCGCCAATAAACGCTCCCCCAATTACCAAAGACTCTGATGCGCTTTTGAATGGCCATCGTCACGCCTGATTTGAACGATTGATTTTGACGCCCATTGCATGGCTTTCAACGAAATCATCGTGAGCATTCGTGGATCCAGTCTCTTGGTTGGTTTGATCAGGCATGCCAGTCTGGTCACCAAAGACTCGCATTGTGCTTCGCGTGCGACTTTTGGGAAGTGACGATGATCCAGGCTGGAGGTATCAGTGAATATCATTATTCATGTCAATGCTGATGCTGAGTGCTCGTAGCCCTCCATCTGAGCAGTCTCTATGCTCTGTTTACTCTCTATGGTCTATCTGTGGTATCATGCGTGCTAGTGTCAACTTCTAACTTAGTAATCGGCCGTTATTCGGTGCACTTTCGACAGAAATATGCTGTTCATTTACCCACCAGGTCATCTGATGAATCCTGTCATCAAGACCTCTCGGTTTTCTCCGTCCTCCGCGCAAATCTGATCCCCGAAACACATGCAAATCCCGCTAACGCCATTGCTCCGGCATAATATGCGGCAGGGCGAAACTTCTCAAGACCATCAGCATCACTAGAGACAGAGTAAAGTCCTGAAGCAATGGGAGTACCCTAACTTGATAAGCAAAAGTTTAAGTAGTGCACGGCATATTATGACTTACAAAAAAGAAACCGCAGAACCAAGTCGTCCAGACGACGGGGATGATGCTGAGGGTGTTTTCTCCTCCAAATGTGGCGCTCACTGCGATAGGCGTGAGACTGAAGAACGCACCACATCCGATACCGTTCAATACGAGGTAGACGGAAAAGATGCCGATTGATGATGAAAGAGGCCAGACGATGAGAGAGCTCAGAGCCATGAAGAGCATGCAGATTGCTAGACTTTCGACTGGTCCCAAAAGAGTATCGGCAACCCATCCAGCGACAACACGGCCCAAGGTAGAAGCTAAGTTCCAGCAGGCAAGCATAATGATACCGATTTCCTTAGTATAGCCCATTGATCTCGAGAAAATCGGAATGAAGTAGGGCGGGATGAAGAGCGGGAAGCAGGAAAGTACAGTGCCGCCGACGAGCAGGAGGAAGCGAGGTTCCTTAAAGCGATACCTAAGACATGTCAGCCATGTTCAAGTTGTCGCTGTTTCCATCTACTGACCACTGTAGCTGACGGGAGGCTTTCTTTCCCGAAGCCATCCTCCTTGGCAAGAAGTAGGATGCAGGGATAGAAACACCCCACAGAATGAAACCCAGAATGCGGAACGTCCAAGAGACGCCCAGGTCTTTGACAAGGTAGTTGGCTACAACACTCATGATGGCAGAGCCCAAGCTGCCCCCACCGAAGACAAACCCCATGGCCAATGCTTTATGCTTCTTGAAGAGACCCATCGGGGCAGTCGAGACAGACTGGTAAGGAATGATATTAGCTGTTATGGTTTGCGCCAGTAGGACATTTGCAGACCCAGCAGGAGTCTTGTTGCACTCACAAAGACACAAAGGCCACCACCAAGGCCGAAGACGAGACCATGTAGAAAGAACAAAGCCACAACATGGTATGTAGTAAAGCTTGCGAGAACTTCACCCAAACCCATGAATAAACCACCAATCAACGCAGCCAGCCGATATCCTATCCTGCTGATGATCTTGTCGGAAACAATACTGAAACAAATCATGAAAGATGTCGCCATTGATCCGACAAATGTCAAGGTTGTTAGACTAGAACCCGTCGTCTCGACGAGCTTGACTTGCATGATGCCCCATGAGTAGATCACTCCCAGGTAGACAAACATGGTAAGTGACGATGCAGCAACCGTGACCCAAGCTTTCCGGTCATCGTAAGTCTGCTGCTCCACTTTGGGAGTTGAACTTACGGCTTGGTCGTCACTTGAGTGGTCGGTATCGTGCCCATCTTGTCTTTGGACGACTTGTCGCTCGGGGTAGGTGCCTTTTTCGTTGTCCATCTTGGCGAAACTCAAATGGATTTGGCAGAAGCTGTCAGAAGCATACTCTCTTCGAACTGAAAGTTTCAGCCTCCTCCCTGAGAGGCTTCGAGCTTATCATATTCTCGAGTCTGAGTGAGAAAATCGAATGTTGTAAGTCGGCTTTCGGCTATCGGGTTTACGTCAGAACCGAAATCAGAATTTCTCACGCGATAATGCGGTTATCATCGTCTGCAGATTTTATGGAGATGTCCAAAGTGGATTCTCTATTGTAATTCCTCCGATGATTTTGACGCGGGCCCACCGTTGGAAGGGCCGGTTGGGCTCCGTGAACACGGAGCCGCTGGCTTGTCGATCCCGATGATTCTCGGATTTCAGCACTAGCGCCGAATAACGAAGGTCTATTTAGGAGAGTTAAAGTGCCGGTTGTCTCTTTTCTCCCACTTTGTTTCGGGGAACAGAAACCACATAGAGAACTTACACATTCATCTCACCTCAAGTTATTATTCTACAGTCCACATCCCTCGCCATGGCTCCCGCAAGAGACGACGAGCTGTTCACAGCAGTCAACGCCGAACCCCACACAGTCAAGAATACCAAGACCAAGGGTGGAGAAGGTCGTCTTATGCACCGATCTTTAATCCAGCACCCCTCCATGGTCGAATCAGCAAGTGGTATCTACCTAAACCTCGCCAACGGCAAGAGAGTCATCGATGCATGCGGTGGTGCTGCTGTAGCCTTGATTGGCCATGCCAACGAGGAAGTCATTCAAGCTATCTCGGACCAAGCCCGAAAAGTGAGCTACGTCCACACGCAAGCCTATACGACACAGCCGGCTGAGGAACTTGCCGACCTTATCCTCGATGGCAATCCGCATGGTCTCGAGAAGGCCTTCTTCGTCTGCAGCGGAAGTGAAGCCGTCGAATCGGCGCTAAAATTAGCCCGTCAGTACCATTTCGAAAATGGTCAGCCGCAGAGGAAGCACTTTATTGGCAGAAAACAAGCGTACCACGGCAACACTATGGCGACCATGTCGATTTCAACAGTCGCATCGAGAAAGGTCCCATACGAGGGCTTCTCCTACCCCCACGTCTCATATGTTTCACCAGCATATCCGTACCAATACCAGAGAGCAGATGAGACCGAGGATGAATTCACGGCTAGGCTACTTGCCGAGATCGAGGACGAGTTCCAAAGGATTGGCCCAGACAATGTCATTGCCTTTGTTGCCGAGACTATGGTGGGCGCTACCGCAGGCTGCGTGGCACCCCCTGTCGGCTACATCGCTGGTGCTCGTCAAATTTGCGACAAGCATGGCGCTCTTCTCATTCTCGACGAAGTCATGTGCGGCACCGGACGCACTGGAACTTACTTCGCTTTTGAGCAAGAGGGCATTGTTCCCGATATCGTCACAGTCGCCAAGGGTCTCGGCGGAGGTTACGGCCCCATTGCCGGCGTTCTGATGCACGAGAAGGTCGTGTCCATGCTGAGACAGGGATCCAACGCCTTCAACCACGGACACACTTACCAAGCCCATCCCATTGCCTGCGCAGCTGCGTTGGCTGTTCAAAGGATCGTGAAGCGGGACGACCTCGTCGCTCGCTGCGCTCAGTTAGGGAAGCAGCTTGAAGTGCTACTGCGCACTGAGCTCATCAAGTGCAAATCAGTCGGTGACATCAGGGGAAGAGGTTTGTTCTGGGCTGTCGAATTTGTCAAGGACAGGGAGACAAAGGATACCTTCGATCCCAAGCTGCGATTTGGATTACGAGTTCAAGAGCGGGCCTTTGAGAAGGGCGTCGCTCTCTACCCCGGCGCTGGCACGGTGGATGGCTCGAGAGGAGATCACGTCCTACTTGCTCCCCCGTTCACGACAACAGAGGAGGAGCTACGTAAGATTTGCAGTGTTTTCAGGGAAGCACTGGAGCAGATTGAAGCAGAAATTCTTTGAAAAGTGGCCATGACCAGGGACATGCTGATGCTGAGCGTGACGCATTTGCCAGGGCAGTTCGACTTCGGACTTTTGTACATAGTTAGTTCAATAATACCCATTCTTGAAAAGTACCCACCACTCAAAGCCTTTGTCCAATGCGGCTAGCCCATCGTGAACATCTCTGAAGCATCGACATCTTCCAGCATTGACCACCAATTCGGCCAAAGCCCTTGATCATCCATACTGCCAACAGCGTCTATCAACGCTTGTGGGTTTAACCCGCCGATATTCTGATTCGCCTTGTCGCCTGAGACATTGCTGCCCTCGCCGGTGCTGACGGCGCCCCGCTCAGCGTTATTGATTTCCTCTAAATGTTGAGCAGATCTATCGACTACCCGAAATTCATGAACAGACTGATGTAAGACACTGAAGTCAAAGCGAGATCGTCCGCGATATTTCTGGGCGTCAGACGTGGCTCGTTGGTACATCAACGACCCGTTCTGGATGGTCTTGAGCTGTTACGCGTCAGTCATAAGTAAA